CCCCAACCCCCAACCCCAACCCCAAACCCAACCCCAACCCCAAACCCAAACCCAAACCCAAACCCAAACCCCAACCCCAACCCCAAACCCAACCCCAAACCCAAACCCAACCCCAAACCCAAACCCAAACCCAAATCAGGTTCCATTTAAAGTCGTGGCTAATACTCGGATCGTGAGCGAGGGTTGGACTTTTCTTCTTTAATGTTGTACATAAAGAAGTATAAGTTGACTGAAGTTAAGATGTTCTAGAACAAATTTGGTTTGGAGGATGAGAATAGAAAAGAATGGGAGTCTATCGTAGATAGTAGATTTCGAAATTGGACCCAAAGAATGCTAGACTGAGCATGGTTTAGGCTATGCTTGCAGCATTTGGAGAGGAAATTAGCTTAACAGGTCTAGGTCTTAGATAAATGGACTGTACTCCTGTTTATATACCTCATATTATTAATTTTAAGGAATAGAAGACTACAGTGGACCAAATTCTTTACTTAGCCCAGAAAACTGGGGCTTTCGGGGAGGCTTTTATTTATGATCAAAAAATTCAAAAAACTAAATTCAAATTTTGAAAAAAAAATTAAAAAAAATTTAATTCCTAATTAAAAAATAATAATAATCCATCATAATAACAATAAATTAAATCTGAAATAATAAGGAAAATATTAACCAGAGAAGAGATCGATCTCTCTGAAATTATGCAACCTTATCAAGAATTGTTGTTTAAGTTTTTTGTTTAATTTCATCATTGGTTTGATGTAATATCAGAAGAAACTAAATAAATATATTTTGTTATTATTCTACATGTAAGTAAACATAATAAACATGTATTATTTAAAAGTAAGTCATGAAAGGCAACACTATTGCTATAAATAGTGAAATTGCCTAAAAAAATAGAGCAATCTTATATTATTACTCAGTACTATCAACTGTAATATCAAAAACACATTATTATCAAAGCCAAAGCATTTTTCATAAGGAAGAGGGCATAAAGAGCACAGATTAATCAAAAGTGACTTTTGAGAAAATTTTCAGGTAAATATGCAGACGACAAATTTGAGGATTTGTTAGAATTATTATACAAGGATCAATCACTTACATTTTTGTCCTATTATTGGAATATAAGTGGATCTTGCCTTCCTAAATATCTCAATAAAACACCCTTCATGGCTAAATATCCTACACTATATGAGCCTTGTAACAAATTCTACTCATGAGATCCCTTTACATGCACTTAGCGTACTCATATATCTAATAATAATTCAAGTATTCTCTGTTATGAATAAACCATTAAATCCTTTTCATTAACTCGTTTCTCTTAGTTAAGTCACAAATGAGTTAAGTTTCGTCTACTATTAGGTTTAGATAATTATTAAGGTTGGTAAGATAGTTTTCAGGTAAATGTGATGTAGTCATTTAATTTTAATCTTGATGTAATTATGAATCGAGATCCTTTTTTGCTTTTAATTATCCACAGCCTCCTCCTCTTAACATAATAAAATTCTTTATTGGATATTGTGAAGAATAACTATTACATATCTCTGAATACATTTGTATTAATTAAAATTCCATATTATAATAGAGGTTATAAATAACATTTTTGTAAGATGTCGTTCTGTACTTAAAAAATTAAGTCCAAGATAATTAACCAAATTTGAACAAATTAGTCGAATAATTGATATCATTTAATTAACATTTTTATATTGTTATATCAATATTTATTATTAAAATGAATTAAAATTAAGACATTCATATTATTTATTAGGAATTTTTAATTAGTTTTAAGACATGAATTGATAAATTATTCACTTACAAAGATTTTCTAGTTTTACACATCTTCTGATTTTAACTTTAATATCAATATAATTTGGTAGTTTATAATTTATTAATCACTAAAAGAAAGAGTTATTTTTTTGCAAATGGAAACACCAAGCATCAAGCATCGAAGCTTGTAGTTAATGAAATGCTTGTTGACATTTGTTGAAAAAGATTGACATCATTTTTTATTTAATCAATTTCCTCTTATTCCTTAATTGATCACAGGTAAAGCATGTAATTAATTACTCACAAATAAAAATTAAATTTAGTTAATCAGACCTTCTTCCTTCTATTCATAGATAAAATTAATTACTTCATTAGGTTAGTTAGAGGATCATAAATTTTAAAACTTGATGAGATCTTAAAGGGGATGCATAAACTTTATAATCTTTAATCATCTAACTTTACTTCTAAAAAGTTACTAAATCAAAAAGAAAACTCAGGAAAGCTCTTTTTTTGAATTTATGACTGAAATCAACAACTAAGATTTATCAATTGATTTTAATTTCTCTAATTTAATATGTAAAGAGACTTTTTGGGGTATAGATTTAATAAATAAGATTTGCATATTATTTTTGATTGTTTAATATTTTGATTTATTAGAAATTTGTTAATTATGAAAATAATCTATCACCATTTTTCAAACTAAAGAAAAATCGATGAGTTGTTCTTACTTCAAATTGCCTTTTGTTAAATGTAGTTTAGAATTCTACGCAAAAATACCTGGCCAATAAGAAGCAGCGCATCGATTTGCATCTATAATTTCCATTTTCTTAAAACTAAATTTACTTAAAATATACGCTGCTGCTATAAGTTCAGAACAAAAAAATGTCTTTTCATCTTTTTCTAGATCATCAATAGTTTCATTTGTTTTTGTAAATCGTTTTATCAATTTACTTGGTGACATTTGATATCTTTTGCCAATCGATCCCTAAGCTATAAAACCTATTATGAACCTTGACAAATTATTCAAGTTTTTCAAGAAGTTCATTTGATCTATTGACTTCTAATTATCTATATACCATTTATGAATACAACGAGTGCCAATTATTTTTCATAAAAGCATCCCAACTTAAAAGATTAACACCCTCAACCTTATATATTTAAAATTACTGTTTATCCCATAGCTTCAAATAAAAATAATTCTCCATTATTATATCGAAGTAATAAAGCAACATGATCAAAATTATCCCCAGTGATAGCTCTTTAGATTTTACTTAATGGAGACTGCCCCCTAATAAAATTAAAGTGAATAGTCACCTAAATAATAGAATGTCACCAGTATCAGCTTTCTTTCTGAAATAAGTTTCAGATACTCTCTCAAATCTCCACATCGACTCATGATTCAAAGGTGTCATTTTTGGATAGGATTATGTAATCAAAATATGTTGTTTGATACAAAGATACCAGTCTTACAAATCCTTATGATCTACACTCTTAAACTAAAATATCTTCTTAATTCCATTTAATTCCAATCTTTTTTAATATCGATGTAGAAAATTACTTTATTTTGTGTATTAGATTATTCTTCATGATAGGAGTAATCGAAACTGAAATCAAATGAAAATCTATGCAACCTTTAAATTTGTCAGAACCTTTAAAATATAACATTTTCCCATCTTAAATCTTTACATATCGTTTCTAATAGATATATTCAATCTCACCTGCCATCCTACAAGNTTATTCCTTAATTGATCACAGGTAAAGCATGTAATTAATTACTCACAAATAAAAATTAAATTTAGTTAATCAGACCTTCTTCCTTCTATTCATAGATAAAATTAATTACTTCATTAGGTTAGTTAGAGGATCATAAATTTTAAAACTTGATGAGATCTTAAAGGGGATGCATAAACTTTATAATCTTTAATCATCTAACTTTACTTCTAAAAAGTTACTAAATCAAAAAGAAAACTCAGGAAAGCTCTTTTTTTGAATTTATGACTGAAATCAACAACTAAGATTTATCAATTGATTTTAATTTCTCTAATTTAATATGTAAAGAGACTTTTTGGGGTATAGATTTAATAAATAAGATTTGCATATTATTTTTGATTGTTTAATATTTTGATTTATTAGAAATTTGTTAATTATGAAAATAATCTATCACCATTTTTCAAACTAAAGAAAAATCGATGAGTTGTTCTTACTTCAAATTGCCTTTTGTTAAATGTAGTTTAGAATTCTACGCAAAAATACCTGGCCAATAAGAAGCAGCGCATCGATTTGCATCTATAATTTCCATTTTCTTAAAACTAAATTTACTTAAAATATACGCTGCTGCTATAAGTTCAGAACAAAAAAATGTCTTTTCATCTTTTTCTAGATCATCAATAGTTTCATTTGTTTTTGTAAATCGTTTTATCAATTTACTTGGTGACATTTGATATCTTTTGCCAATCGATCCCTAAGCTATAAAACCTATTATGAACCTTGACAAATTATTCAAGTTTTTCAAGAAGTTCATTTGATCTATTGACTTCTAATTATCTATATACCATTTATGAATACAACGAGTGCCAATTATTTTTCATAAAAGCATCCCAACTTAAAAGATTAACACCCTCAACCTTATATATTTAAAATTACTGTTTATCCCATAGCTTCAAATAAAAATAATTCTCCATTATTATATCGAAGTAATAAAGCAACATGATCAAAATTATCCCCAGTGATAGCTCTTTAGATTTTACTTAATGGAGACTGCCCCCTAATAAAATTAAAGTGAATAGTCACCTAAATAATAGAATGTCACCAGTATCAGCTTTCTTTCTGAAATAAGTTTCAGATACTCTCTCAAATCTCCACATCGACTCATGATTCAAAGGTGTCATTTTTGGATAGGATTATGTAATCAAAATATGTTGTTTGATACAAAGATACCAGTCTTACAAATCCTTATGATCTACACTCTTAAACTAAAATATCTTCTTAATTCCATTTAATTCCAATCTTTTTTAATATCGATGTAGAAAATTACTTTATTTTGTGTATTAGATTATTCTTCATGATAGGAGTAATCGAAACTGAAATCAAATGAAAATCTATGCAACCTTTAAATTTGTCAGAACCTTTAAAATATAACATTTTCCCATCTTAAATCTTTACATATCGTTTCTAATAGATATATTCAATCTCACCTGCCATCCTACAAGTAACTTAGGACTCTTTTTCTTTAACCATCCTTCTTTGTTACAAATATCTAATTGATTGACTCCCTTTATTTGATTATTAGCTGATATTGAGTATTGGAGTTTCTTTTCCAAAGTGCTTTCCTGTCTAACATAAGATTAGTATTGTTGTTCTTCATCTTAGAGTATTTCAGATATATCAATTGTAGAAGGTGTCTGATTCATTATTGCAATTTATTAAATTCAATATTTTTATATATATTTTATTCATCCTTCACTCATGAATATTAAATTACTTAAAAAATAACGAAATAAATTATTATAAATAATACCCAAATAAACCATGCTAAAAATCAATATAGAGGTTCAAACTGTTTATTTTTATATTGATTCTGACAATTCGTATTGTAACATGCAACTTAATGATTGTAATAATATTAAACTTAAACTAGCCATAACAACTGTCGTTTTGAATAATTAATTAAGATGTAAATGTTATGAACAATAAGACATCTATGAAAAAGTTGAAATTCTAATCCCATACAATTAAAGAAACAAAAATAAAGTAACCTATTTTAATATCAAAAAGCTCAAACTCATTTTTTATGAAAATCTTATAAAATTTGGAGAAGCAATCTTTAATCTTGACTTCTACATCGAACATAACCTATCTTAAATTTCGGATAGATTATCAATTTAATGTGATCAAAATGAAGAAGCACAGTTAACTTTCATTTTCGAATGGTAACTCATCGAAAGTTAACCTGAACCAAATATATAAATTTTAGATAATTGTTAATCTACTAGTAGTCCTTAAAGCAAAGAAATTTCATAAAGAAATGCTTGTTACAGTCCGAAGAGATAAGAAAAATCAAAAAAAAGTAGTGATGAAAATAGAATTACTCACTAATCATATATCTAATGGAAAGATCATAAGGAATAATTGAAAGTTTAATAAGAGAAAAAATTGAAGGAACCAAAACCATAATCTAAAGTAGTCATTACTGATGATTATGTGTGGTCAAATCAATTGAGAAAACCAGATGTGTATGTAAGAGTTGGATCTCCTCCCAAACGATTCGCCACTCCAACTAAACAATTCAAAAAAATATATTGTTCTATCAATGAACAGCCAAAGCAAACTGATCTAGATTTAAAGGATATCAATGATAAAATGAATGTTGTTAAAAAGTAAATATAATCAATGAATTAACAAAATAAAAAGAGTGATGATGAAAAAAGAAAATACAAAACAAAATTGGGATCAAAGTAAAAGTATTGTTAATAAGAAGAAATTAAAACCTAATCTGAGGACATTGTCAAATCATTTTCTGATAGAGGGTGGAAGTAAAAAATTATGAGCTAAAATAATGAAAACTATGATTAATTTTAACTGAATACTTTTAATTAGGTTACAGAACAACAATACCCAGAGCAAAATACTGATCCTTATTAAGAAATTCAGATATTAAAACAAGGGTTGCAATAACAAGATCACAAATCTAGAAGTCCTAAAACAAAAAATTAAAATTAACAAGCTAATTATTCACCAAAAGGTAAAACTTAACACTAGGATGACAATTTTAAGAGTGTAAAATAGGTTGATAATGGTAATTTCGTAGGTGAAAAATATGAATAATTTTTAAGAGATTATTTAGATTTATAGGATAAATTATAAGGGTCTTAAATAGAATTCTAGTTATTATCTTAAACATATTAATAATTAAAAGAAGAGTACACTTAGGTTGTGTACTAAAATTAAAAATATTATTAATAAATACAAAGTTTATAATAATAATTTCAATAGAAGATAAATTCTATCGATTAATCCTCATAATAAGCATAGTATATATAAGCATAATCTAATTAAAAGTAATAATAGTAATAATAGTAGTAATAATAATAATAGTAGTAATAATAGTAATAGTAGTAATAATAATAGTAGTAGTAATTGTAGTAGTAATAACAAAAACAATAATAATACCAATAATCGTAGTAATAACAACAATAATAGTAGTAATAGTTATTATAATAATAACAGTAATAATATTAATAATAACAACAGCAATAATAATAGGAATAATATTTATTAAAATAGTAATAGTAACTATAATAGTAATAATAATGTTAATAGCAATCTTAACAAAATTAATAATAATAAAATTAATATTATTTATAATAATTAACCTAACAATAATAAAATATTGATTTTCTCAAAAAAGAAAATGAATTAATTTAGAGAGAAAATACTATGTTGAAGCAAAACTATGAATTATTATAATAAAATCTATAAGTTTTACAAAACGAGAAGGAAAAAAATTAATTTGAAATCTAAAATCATAAAAATAGCCTAGCAATTTTAAATTAAGAATTAGAAAATTTATAAAAGAAATTAGATTTAGTAAATAATTATTAGCAGAGTCATGCAACCTCAACATAAGCTAATACTGCAAAATTTGACCTTAGGACGGATATACAATAAATTAATCAGTTAAAAACAAAACTAGAAAACTCTGAATTAATATCATAAGGTTTGAGGGAAGAATTAAATTCATTAAAATAGAACTATGTTTAATAGGAAAAAGAGAATTAAAATCTTAAGAAATAGGTTGATAATCAAAACCAAATGATTGAATCTTTAGAGGAGGAAATTTAAAGATCAAAAGAGTAATTAGAGTAGAAGAAATAGGAAATAATAAGACTTGAAGCTTTTAGCAATAAGGAAAATACAAGTGATGTTATAGATGGTTATAAATAAGTAGTAAGGAATAAATAACAAGAGCTAAACAACAAGGAAGAAGAAATTAAATAGTTAAAATAAAGAAATAAGTAATTAGAAAGTGAATTTAAAGAAGAATAAGAAAATAATTAAATAATGGTTTCATAATTAAATTTACAATTAAAATAAGTATAATAGTAGATTGATAGATTATAACAAGACAATCAGAATTATTAATAACTGTAGTTAAAAAAACCCAAAGTTTCAGAATAACACTCTTAGTAAATAATTAATTAATTAAAAGATAAGACTAGGAGTAAAAGAATACTGTTTAATATTGCCAAGAATTTAGTTTTAAGCCATCTGTGATTAAAGGTGAAGACTTTGAAAACTAGAATGATATTTTATAATAAGAAGTCAATCAATTGAGATAGGAAATTAATTAATTTAGTATATAATAGGCTTATTAAATTTTAGTTTTACAAAAATAGAAGGATGATATAAAAATCAAGGGTTTATCTGAAGAGTTAGAAATATAGAAGGTATTTGTTATTACTAATTTAGAATATCACTAGTTATCAGGAAAATGAGTAGTTAAAATTAAAAAATGAATTAACAGCTACGGAAGCTTAGTTATTAACATAAAAATAGAGGATTGCAGATATCCTTAATTCAATCATGATAAAGGGAGATGCAAAACTGATGGATGGACTTGAAAAGTTGATATAAAATAAAGGATTAGTCTCTTTGAAATGATAATTTTTGGTTTATATATATTTTAATATCAAAAATTTTATTATCCTAAAGAGTAAATTATTGATTCATTCCAACTTTAAACAAATTTTTTATTTGAATTGTTAAATATTTTAGATATGAAAATAAATTCAATGCAAAAAACATAGAATAGTAATTAAATTTTCTCTATTTATAATAATACCTATTTCAATTTTAGTATTTAATGTTGTAAAAATTAATAGTTTGACTAAATAATTACCAACATAATCGTAAAGCAAATTAACTGTGATATAATTGTAAATAGAGTCAGAAATGAAAGGCTAATCATCTATTCTATTAAATAATCTAAAAAATTTTATTTTTTTTATCTGCAAATTATTAATATATGTTCATTATTAATAAAATCATATTCATATTTAATCAAAATCAGCATTTTATTTACAATTATCTTCAATTGATGTTGCACTTATGATTTTGTTACCATCAATTAAATTTTCTTGTTTGACATCTTCTATTTTAATCAAAATTGCTGTAATTAAAGAGCAAAACCCTAAAAACGATAAGAATAATTGAGAATAGTAATAACTTCCATAATATGCTCTCAACACACCCACAACGATAGGAAATATACTAAATAATCCATTATAAGTTCCAACTACAACTGCATAAGCTTTACCTAAGTAATCAGGTCTTACCAAATAAACAACTCCTGTCCATGGGGATGCATAAGCAATTGCATTTGCAGTTCCTAATGCAATTAAGGATAGAAATGGATATATATACCACAAGGTTATATGAGAAACAAAACAAAGAATTCCTGCAATAATACACTTTGATAAATATCAAATTATTACATGAGATGCCCTTCCACCATATTTATCAGCTATGAACCCAAAAATAGGAGTGAAAAATCCAGTTATTAACCACATAATGGCTACCATCTGTCCTGCTTTAAGCTCAGATTCCTCATCTTCTCCTAACCATCTTTCTGTCAAAAAGCCCACCGATATATTAATGAATCCTAGAACAGATGAATAATTTAATCCAAAATAGATGGCAACTAACCAAAACAATTTTGGATATGTTTTCATTTGTTCATAAATACTTACTTCTGATTACTAATTATGTTATTCATTAATTTATGGTTGTTCTTCTTCTTAAGCCAATTGCATATATTTGACTTTTTCATAATCAATGTTTTTTAGCATCTAAGTCTCGGCACATTTATCAATACTTGTGGATACAATTGCACAAACGATACAAAATAAGTTAAATAAGCATCCAATTGAAGTTGCAACTAATAACCCATATTAAAGAGCAAGCAAAGGGCAAAAGTACATTGTTGCAACTGAACCAAAGCCAGCAAACAAGGTGTTCATTCCTATAGTTAATCCCTTTGTATGAAATCAATAACTTACTAGATAATCGTCTTTGAAGTAAGGTGACACAAATGATGTTTGTATTGGTTAAACGGATTCAATTCCCCAGCCCAATATTATCCTTGCTAAATACATAACTATAAAGCTTTTAACCATAACTCCATAAGCAAACAGTCCTTATCCAATAAAAACAAATGAAACTGTCTATAATAATATCATTCTATCTCCCATCGCGTCTCTCAGTCCTTTTATTAATCTTGAATATTACTTCCTGTGATGAAAGGCAAAAATATGTTGGCAAAAGAATAAATACTATACAATCCACTGAAATATATTTCGAATTCTCCATCCGTTAATACATCACTAAAATGTTATTTTAATGTATTATGTAAAGCTGCAGGCACATCAAAACAAAAGAAAGCCCCTGCTACTATCCAAATACAAAATCCAAGAAGAATCCAACGGAATTTAAAATGACCTTTGTTTAAGAAGTGATATGTTTTATCTTTTCCATCATCTTTTTTATTTTCCATTATTAAAGATAAATTTATAATGTAAAATTATTAAAAATTGATTTTTTACGGATAACTAATGTTTCAAATTTAATACAAATATATCATTAAACCATTCTTATTCTATTATTTATTATCCTTATGTTGTTGAAAATTATGAAAAGTAAAAAAGATGAAATTATCTTTACTTTTCATGTAAACTTTTTATTTTCTATTCACATATCATACTAATATAAAGTGTTAATTAAAGGATTCATTATTGGAGTAATTACAATTTTTAATTTAAATCCTTATATTAAATTTCATAGACCTTTAACATCTGACTATGAATCACTATCCACTTTTTTTAGTTGGGCTCGTTGTATAGGACATGATCACGACTTCATTTTCTTGATAAAATTGATGAAAATTATTAATTTCTTTTATAAATAAAATAAAATCTTAAAATGAGTGATTTGCTTAAATAAACTCTGAAAGGGTAACAAAAATAGAAACCACCTGTTCCAAAAAAATAGATGCAAAGTACATTAAATATATATTGAAAGATGAAGAGGAAAATGAAGATGATGAAGATGATAAAGAGGAAGAATAAGATTAATTTGATGTAGATTTTAAGTAAAGTGAATGATCACATAATTAATAGCAAGAATTCTATTCCTGTTAAGTTACAAGGATCTAAACCATAACCAATAAAAGCAGATCATAATATTACTCATTGTATGATTATAAATATGATAAGCCCATCATTAAAATCCTTAATAAGCTAAAATAACTAAAAAGATTCATGACTATACACCTTAGAGATGGAATGAGTTTTACGATGAGATGATATTCCATCCAAATGTAAGAATGTAGAAATAAAATAGGGTACACCAATATACATAGCTGGAAAAAATAAGGCACCCATATTTTTTTGTTTACATGGAGCTGGACATTCTGCTATGTCATTTGCAAATTTAGCAAATGAAGTGAAGCAGTATGCAACCTTGATTTCGTTTGATTTCAGAGGACGTAAAAACACTAACTAAAATAATAGATGGTCAATCAAAAATTGAATTGGAAAATCCAAACCTAAGTGTTTAGTAGTTATTGGATGATGTAGTTGAAATATTCGATTATGTGACTACATAATGGCCAAAACAGACAGTGATAATAGTTGGTCATTCTATGGGAGGTGCTATTGCAGCTAAATCTGCGAATTTACTAATAACATCATAAAAGGCAGATAAAGTGTAGGGTATTTTGGTTTAATATTCATACATTAGGTTTGATAGTGATAGATGTAGTGGAAGGAAGTGCAATCGAAGCCTTGCCATTTATGGAATAGATAGTAAATAACAGACCTAAACATTTTAAATCATATGAGTAAGCGATTTAATGGAGTTTGAACACATCAACATTAATGACTTTATCGTCAGCCAGAGTATCAATCCCAGCATAATTAAAAGAAGTCAAAGATTAGAATGGAAATTTGATAAGTTTAGATTGGCAAGTCGATTTATTGAAGACTGCATCTTATTGGATGGGTTGGTTTGAAGGACTAACCAATTCCTTCCTGCAAATAAGAATACCAAAAATTTTGATGTTGGCTGAGAAAGAGAGACTGGACAAGGATCTTACTGTGGCTTAGATGCAAGGAAAGTTCAGATTGATCGTGCTGTAGAATACTGGGCATAGTATTTAAGAAGATGATCCTAAAAGCACTGCTTATAATTTCCATGATTTTATACTAAAATTTAGAATCCCAACCACTGTTGAAGAAGTTGAAAAGCTTAAACAAGTTGGAATTGGAAAGTTTCATCCCACCATTGGGAATTATGAATATTAATAGAAATATTATTGAATAAAATGTTCATTAGAAATACTTAATATAAAATATATATATAATTAATTTATTATTTTACAATTTTTATCACCCTCTCAAAGCATTCTAAATACATCTCCTTGTGTACAATTTTAGAAATGACTATTACTTTTCAGAATCCTAATTATTTTCTATCCAAGTTTTTTTTTCAGATTGAGTTAAAATGTTTTGTGGTCCTTCCTCCAACACTTAGCTCAAAAGTTAATGATAATCAATGAATGAGATCTAGGATAAAGCTATTATGCAATCATCAATGTAGTCTTCTACTTCTTCATCACTTGGTCCCTTTCGTAGAGCTTCGAATAATTTCGATGTATATTAAGGGATAAATGGAGTAATAATTTATTAAAATTCTAATATTTAGATGAATTAATACTGTCTTTATACTCTTATGGAATTTAAACTTTGAATGCCTCATCTTAGGGTTTCAACATTAAGAAAGTAACTTCTAACCATGAGTAAAACACCTTCGCAGCACCTACATGTTCCAATCCAATTGCCATCAAAGTCAATTATAAAATTGTTTACAATGCTGAACTTTGTAACAATAACACTGGTGTGTATCTACCATATCTTACAAGCATTCCGAACAAATCTTCCGTCAAGTCAGGATTCTCTTCGAAACTTGACAATTGAGGTAAATGTTGGAATGTAATATTGCACAGATTCTCAAAAGCCTCTGACAATAAATTACGATACTCAGGATATTTATAGAATACAGTTGCCGATACCTCAGCAACATAGATACAAGCTGTTATTGGAACTTATCTATAAACATTTAAGAAACTCTAAAAGACTTAGGTAAGTAAATCAACAGAAAATTGATTAAAAGCTTTTCTAAAAGTGTGTTTAGTATATCTAACTATTCTCTCTGCTACTCCATGTTCGAAGACTGCTATTCTCTCCATACCAAATTTTAACATTGGCCATAATTCTTAATAAACATTAACAATTATCATTCTGACTGTTTAATACTCATTTGATTCATTAGCAGGAATTTAGCTATTAATATAGGCTAAACTGGAGATGTTTTTGCTGAATTGTTTAATCCTCTCTTCCAATGTATCTGATCCTACAGATGTGACTAGCAATTCTTCAATTTACTTTTGTAATTAAACTAAATTTTAAGCAAAAATTGAACACAATTTTAAGTAATAATTTTACATAGTTTCTTAACTTGAACAAATTGCATTTGCTACTCCCTTAATTAAATTATCATAGTTAGAGCTAAATATTAAGGATTAAAGATTACACTTATTGTAATTTAAAAATGAGGTCTAAGAATTGATTCAAATGAAGCAAAACAAAATTTTGATTTTATTGGCAAATCAATTAAAATGCTTTAGTGGCCTTCTTTTACACTGATGAAACTTAGTGATGTATTCCTATTGTTATAAAATTAAACAATGATGGCAATAATTCATTTGAGGAAATCAATTAAGCACAACCTTAAGAAATTGTTTTGAAAACTAATATATAATTAATAGATATACCTGTTTTCATTATGAAATTATTGTTGGCCTATGGTTATTATTGATAGACATCTAAATATAATTTAATAATTTCCATTAAATATTAGACTCCAATCTAATCATTTTTCAATATAATTTATTTAATAATTCCGCTAATTAAATTCATACATGCTTCAAATGTAATCCAACCATTTTCATTCATTTGAGAAATGAACTCCTTTTTTAGTATTCCTCCTAAATGTTGAATTATTAAATTTGGTTATATGATGGTAACTAATTCTTCCATTATTTCTTTCATTTAAGATCTGGTTTCCAGTTGTTGCTCGAATTCATCTTTAATTTTAGGTGAAATCCCATATTCAGCCAAGAGAATTTTATTCACCTTGCTCTTCTAGACACATCCATTGATGAGTTATTCGAAGGTCAATGAGAACTTATTTTACAATTACAAATCATTCATAATTCTAATGGTTTTGATCATTTTAATCCAAAAATCCATTAAGATGTCACTTTCAGTAAATGAATTTTCATGACAAAATATCCACAAAAGTGTTTGTAAAAATGGCTCCAATTACGAATTAAGTATAATTTTATGAATGCACTTTTTTCCAACTTTAGAATACAGTTTAATTAAGTTGTGAATTTCATCACATGTTTCCTCATCCAATGCTTTTTTACAAGCAGGGAAGGTTTTATATACTTCATCAAATAGCAATTGCAAAACCTAAGGTTCTAATTAAGGTTATTCACATATTGTTTTTGGAATGATACCAACAAATGTACATATTGCTTCAACGGCTTTACTTTACAATTCCTCATTACTTATGGATTCCAATGTACCTTTAAAGAGCGTAGTTTGACTACTTAATTGCATAAATTGAATTGCCTATTATAATGGTGTTTAGATACTTCTTCTTCTGTTATATTAGATTTCATGAATTCCAACCATTTTTTGTAGGATCTCAATATATGGTATTTAAGAGAATCATCTGGTATGGCATTCCATTGAGTTTGGAGGAATGTTAGAATATCCAACATTTATTTATTTTTGATGTCTTAAGCGATCAACTTCCTCTTCTCATCGTCTATTATAATCTTTTTATTTTCTGTCAGTTCTTCTGGGAGTGTCTCCAAAACATCGAATAAAAACTTCTAATGAGGACTATTGTTTTGAGAGTAATCAAGGATTTACGCAATTACTCTAATTATTAATAATAGGATTACTCTAGTATCGATTTGGTTTGCTATGAGTAGGTGTACAAGTATAAATAGATGAACATAAGTACACATTATATTCTAGTTGATTTTTAATTTTATACGCTGTAGTGAAGTATGATTTGAATGCAATTTTGATAAATGCGTGGTACTTCTGAGGGGGTGAGTGAAACTAATGAATTATTAGATTAGAGTACTGAAGTCATACAGAATTTTGGATTACAAAATACGCAACAATTGAAATACCATTGATGGATCAGGATTTTATTGCAATATTTGAATGCAGATTCCCCAAGCCTCATTTGATTATGAGAAGCTTCTAAGAAAACTATCTGCTTGTTCAACTTATCCTGAATTAAAAACTTGGATAGCCTGACACACTTTTTCAATCGAAAATTCAGCCATGATTTAATAATTAATTAACTGATGGAATATACTATTAAGGATATGAGTGGATTCCTCTTAAATAAGTAAACCTACTCCTATTCCCTAGATAATATAAGCTTCTCAAAAAACTAGGAGCAGGAGCATTTGGTGAAATCTATTCAGCCACAGCCAATGGATTAGATTATGCAATCAAAATTGAGCGATCTGATACGAAACACCCCCAATTGCTATTTGAATCCAAGCTCTATCAATATCTAAACAATTCCCCAATAATTGGCATACCAAAATATTATGGATATTACCAATAAGATGGTTACAATTTCCTAGTCATGGAACAGTTAGGCAAAAGTCTTGAAGACATTTTCACAGACAACAATCGCATCTTCTCGTTGCAATCAGTCACTGTATTAGCACTCCAAATGTTAGAATGTATTGAATTCCTACATGGCAAATAATTCCTTCACAGAGACATTAAGCCAGACAATTTCTTATTGGGCAAAACACATAAAGACAGAGTCTACATGGTCGATTATGGATTGGCTAAAAAGTACATCAATAAAGACGCTCACATTCCATACAAAGATAACAAGGCTTTGACTGGAACTGCCAGATATGCTTCTATAAATACTCATTTAGGAATTGAGCAATCCAGGAGAGACGACTTAGAATCTCTCGGATATGTAATAATGTACTTCCTAAGAGGTACATTGCCATGGCAAAATTTAAGAGCTAACACTCAAAAAGATAAATATGACAGAATTATGGAAAAGAAATTGGCCACATCAAGTGAAACCCTGTGTAAAAATCATCCAAAATAATTATTTCATTACATTGAATACACCAAGAACCTCAAATTCGACGAAAAACCAGATTACAGCTATCTGAAAAACTTATTCATGTCTATAATGAAGGAAAATGAATTAAGAATAGAATACATCTATGATTGGGATGATGAAGACACTCATCGTGATAAAATACTTTTAAAGAATTAATCATCATAATAATCAGATTAATAACAAAGCAATAATCTTATTAAGAATACTAATTATTCATAATATAATAACAATAGACAATCAGTTATGAAAACTAAAACTTCATCAATTCATTCGATAAACAAGGTTTCAGTACTTAAAATATAATCAAATATTAATACTTAAAATAGTTAAAATAATACTAAAAAAAACCCAATCAATAATAAAGTTAAATCAATTATCAAAAAACATTCAAGTTTACATTATAACTGATATATTATATTCTAACAAAACAAATTATTATCATTTTAAAACATTTTAGTTTATATTCTTTGTGAACTAATCTAATTTGTCTTTAAATGTTATGACAGACTTTGTTCCATCTTTCAGGATAGTCTCACCTTTGAAGATTACTTTATCTCAATTTTATATAAGGACTTGAAAATAACTAGAATAAATCCTTCTGTTATTTTCTATGATGTCTATGCAATATCAGATCCTATGATCAACAGGATTTTAATTAAAACATCTTAGTAGATTAGAAATTAATTAATTATTTATTGATAGGTTTAAGTAGTTTAGAATTGAATTTTTCCAAATTACTATGAAGCCTAAGCGATTGAATTTCTTTAAGTCTTTCTTGTACATACATAATAAGTGAGATTTAATGCTAACCAAATCTTTAAATTTCTTTATATTCTTTCTACCTATTATTTATCAGACCATGCAAAACTCAAGATTTTTGTCTCCTTGTTTATACTATAGTTTATCTTACCTTTTTCTTAAAATTAACATCCAAAAATGGTAAATATTTGATTTAGAATGTAAACTATTCACATTTCAAAATCTATTTCATACACACTCGCCGCATGTAAATTGTTATTAAGATGTCCTTTGAGGCCACAACTGCTCCATAGACAATAATTCATTTCTTTAGATAAGCTCCAAATATTTTATTGTTTCGAAAGTCTGAAGTCTGCATTTTGTGTATCAATCTTAATATTTTGACAGACCTGCTCAATTATTTAGTTTACAGACATTTAATATTATTATTTATAATCAGTGTATCACTATTGTTCTTCATCTATGGAATAATGAATAGATTAAGAGCTAGAGGAATCATCACTTTCCTCTTCCATCTCATAGTCCTGTAGATTTTCTATATTGTTTAATTAATTTAAAGCTAATCATAACTTTAAGGGTTACTTTATTGATTATTCTGTGATACATGATTATAATTAACTTCGTTTTCTATTTAAATTTAATTAAATCTTGAATCTTTAAAGTTTTCCTGAATCATTTGAAACAAAAATGGGTTATTGTCTTGAAAGCAATTTACTTAAAATAATTCGCAAGTTTTCATCCAATTTTGCAACTCTTCATCCTAATCAAAAATGATTAAAACCCTTTATTTAAATTATATAGTACCGATTTTTATTTTCTTGGAGCAAAACTTTTTCAATTATATTATTAAAGGATCTATTTTTAAAATATTGCACATTCATTAATGTTGAAATATAATAAGTTGGTTATTTCATATCAACCAAAATTAATCCATTGCAAAATTAAAAAGAATTTGGAGATTTGAATACACTTTTTTTTTAAATTCCTTCGTAACTTTCAAACAAAATTACTCCTTCTTTCTAACTGGAAATAAAGTTCCTTTAATCATACTTTTAATTTCCCCAAAATAATATTTTATTTTTCTCAATTTCTTTCAAATTATTTGGCGTTTAAGTCTCACAATAATTCTTAAACAATGTTATGCCTTCCTTTTTTTAAAATATCACTACAATGCCATTTGGGATATTTTTTTATAATTCGATCAAAGTATTATACAAACTTACATATTTATCTTTTGATTATATAAAGAAGGTTTAAAAATACTCGCTCTGATCAATTTTATGTTTAATTTAAATCTTATTTAGAAAATTATCCTAAGGGGAAAATTAAGATTTAGATGATATAATAATAGATTAAAACTTTAGATTTCTTAAATGATCTAAAACATATTATGAATAATAATTAAGGTAAATATAAAGTGTAGCATTTTTGGATGATTAATTTACAACAAATAAATAATTCTCCTAATATTCTTCTTTGTTTTTATCCCATTCTTATACTATCTCGATAAATTTGATCCAATCAATTAAAGAAGTTAACTTCAAAGTATTTGAAATTTTCAAAAATTGTTAACAACTGTTTGCATATTCGTTAAATGTTTTTTTATATTTTTTCAATTACTAATTATTTGTAAATTATTCCACCAATAGCTGTTTTATTTGTTTTTATCTATCACTATGAGGTTCTTTTAATTTGTCTTTGAAAATTTCCATAGCATTTCTTGATAATTCGACCCATTATGAATCCAAAAAGTATGTATCTTCAGATTTAAAATTATTTAACTTGTTTAATTCAACTAAGCTATTATTGATTGTTTTTACAGAAATTTTATTAAGACTTTTATGCATGTTAAAACTAGGGTAATTATCAAAAATCAAGATTGAGTTATTGAAACTTTCTTATTTACAGGAAAGCAAGTCCTCATGGGTTACAAAAATTAGATCACAGTCTTTTATTTCTGCTGTGCCAGATTCACTTTTATAGTACTTAATTCTAGGTCGATATTTAGTTTTTTGGAGATATCCTTCTGCTTATATCTTTTTATTCTCTTCTGGGTAAGCATAAACAATTTTCAAGTTCTTAGATTGTTCTGAGGAAAATGAATTTTTTGTAAGACTCTAAAGCCATGCCAGGGATGAGCAGAGCAAGGAAATAACCCTTTCTTCCTGATTAACATGTTCTAATCTATGATTATTGAAATAATGTACAAAGCTTGTTATTAATTTTAAAGAGTAGAAATGACCTTATGCATTAATTTTTCAGGTGCCTTTACTAATTTTGGAGTCCATATTTCAACTCCGCATATTGTGTATTTGTTCTGATCTAAATAGATATTTGGAATCATAATTTTTATAAATAATACTATGATAATTGAATTCCATAATTCTATTATTTGTTTCACATAATTTCATAAAAAATATTTTTTAGCCATTTGAATATCTATGGAATTTAGGTTATTAGCAAAGTTTTTGTATATAAATCAAAATAAATTTAAGAATCCCTATTTAGAAAAATGGTATGGATAATTAATAGAATAATCCTTATAAATCAAGTTTGTAAGTGGTTTCCTTATAAAATAATCCTTTGATAATGAATTATCTAGTATTCAAAATCTTAGATTGCCTTTTCAAACCTTTCTTTAACTCGAAATGAAATTAAAACGTAATCTTAGTTCAAATATTAATATTATATAGTATTATGGTATATTTTGTTTAATATTTAAATATATTATTGAACATAAAGTATGCTGGATGTAATGATGTACTTGTTATTTTGCAAAAAGGGAACTTTATTAATTAATAATAATCTTATTTGTATTCTTATAATAAATATATTAATTTAAGTTTTCAAGTATGTCCGATAACAACAGTGAAGAGAATTCAACGAGTAGCCGTGAAATTGAAATTGAATATATAACAGTAAAATTAGGAATAATTATATTTTACATAGGTCAAACTATATGTTGAATTGATAGATGTAAGAGATCCCAATTAGAATTATATTGAATATTTCCCATAATTTGATTTGAGTAAAATGTAATAGGCGAATGGAATTAATATCTTCAAATTGACAAGCAAGCTGAAAGAGTAAGGAATACAATTGGAAGGACGCACGATTTCTTATTATAGTTTCGATTGCGAAATGTATATAAATTGCGGATTGGATCCTGTTCATTATTCTTATGTGATGCCATTAAATGAAATTAGATAAACAAACTAATTACGCATAAAATGCATTCAGACTGGGATTTCACTCATTCACTTAGTCATGTCTGAGGAGATGAATGAGAAAGTTAATAAAATGAAGGAGTAGGAAGGAAATGAGCAATAATAATAGTAGTAAAATCAAGGATAGGAGAATTAGAAGCAATGTAGAAGAACAAAGGAGAGGAGAATTGGATACATCATTGAGAAAGTTTAAAAATGGAGGGAATATTATAATGTAACATTAAATCATAATGTTTAAGGGTATTACAATAGATGAGGAGATTAAGCGATTTACTCTTGAAGAAGCTGCTCAAAAAGTAAATATCTCTAAAAAGAGTTTAGATGATTATTTACTACAGATTCGATATGGTCGAAAATTTGGGTTTAATTTTAATGAACATAAAAATGAGAAAGTAGGAGTCTTAAGAGCATTTGTCAAGAAGAACAACTCATCTAAGAAGAAGAAGGTAAAATAAGAATGATTACCAAGTTTAAAATATCATTTAGTTTATTTCTATTCATAATCATTTTTAAATGCTTTACAAAAAAACTATATTTCCTTAATTATATTTTGAAAACTAAAAGTGGCTGATTAATGTAATTGTAAATTTTGCAATGTGTGAAATATCTATTTTATCCATTCAATTAGATCTATGAATCAATAAGAAAAAGGCATATTTTATAATAAATTAAATTTTAAGGGTCAAAGAACATTTTGAATTGGACTAACCTTATCATTTCCTATTATTTTGCTTAGTTCGACTAAGCAGTAGTAGAATAGCCAAAGGAATAGATTGAGAAACTTAATTGATGCATCTAATCTTAAGATATAGAGTGGTTAGTTGATATTTCGATGAATTTGATCTTAAATATGGAGAACTAGAGATATAATGGATTGAATATGAAATATAAACGAAAAAATATACATAAAACCTCATATCCGTTTTAATTATTTATAATAATGTATAAGGTTATATTATTATGTTCACTTGTAATATTTGCAAGTAGTATGAGTGAGAGTGAAACACTGTTGTAAACACTTCAAACCAGTGAATTTGGAAAGACAATTATCCAAACCATATAAGTTCAATTGGAAGGTAATAGCAGTGTGGACAAAATAATTGAACTGCTCACTTAAATGAAGGAGAGGATTAATGGAGAATAAGATGTCGAAAGATAGAAATCAAGAGATCACACATAATTCTGTGATGACAAATACGATGAGATATTATTCGTTATAGATTCATCTGAATATTAATTAGCCAAAGATTAATAAACATTGCCACTATTCATTTAAGAATAGAAAAATAAATAGAGATAGTTGTTGGATAAATAAGAAATTGAAGATAGAAACAACTAACGCATTGCTGAATTAACAGAGTAAAGAGATTTAACTAGAGTATTAAATACATGATAAATTAACTTAGTCACAATATGAAGCAAGAAGAGATGAATTGACTACAATGATAGGAGCTTTGTAAGAAGGCAAAAGAATAATTAGTAAATTGAGCACGAAAAAGTGGGATCCTTTGGCTGGAACTTACTCCTTCCTTGAATTTTCATAATTTATGTTCAATGAATTGGAAGCACATTAAAAGTCTTTAAAAAAATAATCAAATGGAATCGGATTATTATACGAATTGCTTTTGGAGACTTCGCAGTAAAATGTTAATTGTGATTCATTAGAGATCCAGGAATATAGGCAAATTAACAGGGAGTTGCAAAGATTTAAGAGATAATTGATGAATTGATTGAGAGCATATTTGATCTTTTGAAGAAAGAACTATTGGAAGATAATGCAAGAGAATAAGACTATTAGAATTAAAAGGAAAGAATAGTTATTTAGAACAGAAGATTGTAAGCAACTATTGCAACATTCAAAGCAAGAGTCTTAATAATTAATCAAACCATACTTGAATTGAATAACGATATTAGATTCAATACTGATGTAATGCAATTGATTAAATGTAGAAATCTACTCTTCTGAGAAAATAAAAGGATGATTGGGAGAGAACTTGCGTTGATTATCACAATGGCTATGTGGAAGCTACTAAGATTAGGTATTTTGTACCTTGTAAACCCTAGAACTTAATAAAGTGACATCCTAACAGAAGTTATCCAAGTATTTAATAGAAACTACAACGATTTCCCAAGTTTAATTTAGAATATAACAGTTTGATTAATTTATTAAATGAAAAATGATAAAGAGTTCTCTATAAAGGAAACTGTCAATAAAAACATTGAACGTGTTTAGTTTCCTGCTTTCAATCAGCATAGCAGTCTTCTTGGTTGGTGTTCCATGAATTATCCTCGTGTCCTACAGAATCCTTAATTTATGCCTAAACCTAAACCAAAGGAATATGATGACAATCTTGATTTCCTCTATTAGAAACGTAAAAAAGTACAACTCGTATACATAAATTAGGAATAATAAAATAATCAACTAATAAAGCCATTTACAAATTATCAGTTAACAAAAGAAGCTGTAATTCTTGAAGACATTGGTGCTCCTCCTCCAGGGTTTAAGAAGACTCTTAAGCAATTGACAACTGCTAATCCTGAATCAAAGGCCCTAATTTACAACTAGACATATAAAGACTATGATCCATACTTGAATATTAAACCAATCAATAGTCAATTCAAATAAGAATAAAATGAAAACTTCACTAGAACCATTCGTCAAGTTGGTGATGTTGTGTACAATTAATCATATGAGAATGAAGACATAAGACATTTAAAGGTATTGTGCTATCATACTAATATAGAAATTGCCTAACTCAATACTTTCTGAATAGAATCTATAGGAAGCCTTAAATCCCAAGTTAAAATTCTTGAATTTGCATAATCATACATGGTTGAAGATGGAACAAATAAGCAAGATTGGATACTTTGCTATCAATCTTGAAGAGATAGTCCTTTCTAATACAGAATTAGAGGATGACATATTAATGGAATTAGCAAAATCATGCAGAAATTTAAAAGTGATTGATGTATCATCATGTCCAAAATTGACTGAAACTGGAATCCGAAACTTTTTGGATTACACTTCAAAATATTTGCAAGGTTTCAAATGTGCTAGCAATTTATAATCTATAACTGACTATTCATTAGAGCCACTATAAAATGCTCCCTTTTTATCAATAGTGAACATTTCATTTTGTAATAACTTGACAAGTAACTTTACTAAATACCTCCTTTAAAGTGGATGCAGATTAAAGGAACTGTAGATAGCGACAGTAGAAAACTTATAGGCAGATTTATTATCTGATCTGATTTCACGTTCAAAGGCAGACATGGAATATTTGGACTTGTCTTTCATTCCTACAAAGGACATTAGTGATTCAGTAATTTCTGCAACTTCCCTTTGTTCTAATATTCATACTCTCATACTCTCTGGATCAACTAACATCAGTGATTCATCAGTAGGTAGATTGAGTTCCTTACACAAACTAAAATAGCTTAAATTAGGAGGAATCTAATATCTCGCAGACAATACGTTAGTATATATAGCGTAATCATGCAATAAACTTGAGATGCTTGAACTAAACAATTGTAGCAAATTGGGAGAATAAGGATTGGAAGGAATACTCAAAGTATTTTCATTTAATTAATTATCAAGGCATTGCCTCATCTACAGGTCATTTCTATTAATTTTACTCCTGAAATTTCAGAGCCCTTTTTGTAGGAAAAGAGAAATGAGTATCCAAAAGTAAACATTATCCGCACGATAAATAAAATGACAGATCCAAAGGATGATGGATTAAGAATGCCTCTTCCCTTAGAGAGTGTGGTTATGTAGAGACCTAAAAAGAAGAAGAAGAAGTGAAATTATAATTAATACCTTCATATTAAATATGTTAGATTCATTAATTCATATTTAACTTATCAATTTCAACTACAATTATTGGATTTGTTCAAAAAGCTTCTTCCACTCTTACTTCTGCATACATTTATATGGACAAGTTTAACAATGTGGACATTGACTCACTAATAGTGAATAACAAGATGGCAATTGAACAAAATAACTTAACAAAGATTTTATTTTATCTTGAATCTACAATATGTAATAAATATCATTACTTTTTATAAGTCTACGGCATTTAAAATTGGTATTACACTCACTTGGATTATGGATAGATTATTGATAATAATTTTCTCTAATTCTCCTTTGAATTGATTATTAACTTGTATCTAACCTAATACCTTAGTGTCCTCTAAAATTTCGATAATAAATTAAATCAAATCTTTGAGCAATTCTTCATTCACTTATGATTATTTATGCAGTAAATTCAGAATACCAATTGCTGATGATTTTTCTTATTTGATCAATCCAGGTAATTATTATAAATTAGGCATAAATCCTTATTGTTATAAAAAATATCTTAATTTAATTTACCTATTAAATCTAAATGACATCTTATATAGATTCTATGCAATAGTTAATAGATATTGATAGGTCTTTTCATTAAGTAATTTAATGTGATGATCTACTATATCTTGGATGATATCAATCAACATTAATTATAAGATGCATTTCAGAGTTAATTAATCAGAATTCAATTTAATTTGATTTTTAGGTAGATTTAAACTTAATAAGTCGTCAATAATTGATTAATCCAATTGAGCTGCTTCAAATAGAACATTTGGAGTTGTATTTTAAACCATTAGATCCAAAATTTAAATGGTCTAGTTCCAATCCAATTTCTATCCCTCCTTAATAATGATCTATTTAAAAGTCATCACACTTGTCTTTGCCAAATATTCGTTGGTTTAGAATGTACTATTTAATAAAATGGTTGATATTTCATTGTAGGCTTCCTTTATGTCATGATCAAACACTAATTCCAATAGACTTTTATGAGCCATTTGGCATATTTCTTTTTTGGCTTTGCTTAGGGAGACAAATAATTCTTTCATCATTCCCTTCATTATTTATACATATTAATGTCCTTTGATGTTTTGTGTGTTTGATTTCAATATCTTGAAGAATGATTAGATTGCTTACTCTTAAATTTACTACTGATTGTTTTAGAATAAATTGCAAATATGAGCTAATGATTGCATCCAGAATGCATAATAGAAATTGTTGTCATGTTTCATTAATGATTCTACTGCATTTTGAACAAATTCAATTCCCTTCAATAATACATGTTATTCTTCTCGATTAAAGAGAAACTAGAATGTTTAATCGATTTCATCAAAGATGTCTTTTAAATTGATTAGGTCCTCACTGAATACTTTATTTAAGACATCTATTGATATGTTTACCAATACTATTGATTCTTAAAGAGATTAATTGATTATCTTGAAAACTACTCTCCATCCACTCTTCAATTTATAATAACACATGTGAGCCAACATCCTCATACATGACAAAATAAATTCTTTTACTTCTGAAAATGATGTTTGAGCATAAATCAATTCAAAAGGTTGTAAAAATTCCATTTAGAATTTAAAGTTGTTATGCTCATATTGTTAAATAAACTTTACACTCATTTGTTTCAGTTAGTCACAAGCATACAAAGATATATCAGAATTGGAATGAATGCCGGCTGTTACGAAATGAGCCTTCAATAGATTCCAAATCTGCATCCATATCAATCTTATTCTATCCATGTTAAAACTAGTCACCTCCACTAATCTCTATAAACTAAAGATCCTTGGTTCTGGCAATGTAATTTCATTGAGAGACACATCGATTAACGATTAAAGGAAGTCCAATATGGTCCTAGAGTCCATATTACTGGTATTCTACATCACCTTATCAATGCTAGATATATCAATTATGTTTTGAATATTCTTGCTGATGCTCTCCAAAGGTTCCTAAAGGATTTTCCCTTTTTATTTCTCATTGAGTAAATAATTAATTGAACTAATGATTTCCAGAACTGGTCTCCAATTATTCTTTAAAGCATTCCCATTCTTTATTGCCAAATCTATGATGCACTGTAGAGCCTTATAATTTTTTTATTTCAACTATTTGTTCTCCAAAGAAGCTAATTAGCATAACCATTATATGAATTGTTAGCATAGATCGCAAATGCCCACCATGCTCATTAATTAGAGTGTGTAGGTTGCATTTTGCATAGCGATTGAGATTATCTAAACATTTTCTGTTCTCTCAATAGTTACATTCAAATTAACAAATAAAGCTGGCCAAAACACTTCCATAAATAGTTTGATATAATCTATTCGAGGCATAAAGATATAGATTTTCTATTGCAAAGATTTTCTCTCTAAATTCATCCAGTTGATTTGAGAATTCTACTACTTTTCAATACTGGAATGAATGGCCAAGGGTTCTTACAAGATCTAATCATAACAATATCTCAAATATTCCTCTCCTAAATCTCTTTCCATAGATAATTTTGAAGATTTGCAAAATTGTTAAAATGTCATTTTCGTTTTGACTGACTTATTATAGATATCAGTTTGCAAAATTATTAACAGATATGAAAACACATATGTCTCATCACTAGTCTTGAACACATCGCCAGGATTGTCTTAAAAGAACTTCTGTGAAAATACCAACATACATCTATCCACTTATTATGCTTCTCCTGGCAGTGTAAAATAATTAAGATATTTCCTCAAAGCATCCACTATGTGATAGCCTTTAAAATCGATAGATTATGAATAGATTTAAAATATCAATTAATGATTCTCCTTACTAGATCCAAAGAATTATCCCAACTAATCCTTATTAAAAGGATTATCTTGAAGAAATTAAGCAATTTAAGCATGACTAGATATTAAGATGATCAATACTTGTTTTCCTCTAGAATTCCTTAATTTATCAGATATTCTAATCCTTCTTTCCAATTAAGTGAAAATCTTTAGAGTCCTGTCAAGATCTATTGTTTATAGGTCAACTACTTTTCATGCCCTTATATAAATAATTAAATTACTGATCAAAATGTTCTATATTTTTAATCATCTTTTTTAATTAATCATGATTCTGTTCCTCAATCTATTCTGAATTATAACCAGCAATACTATTGTTCTATTCTTCTTAAACCAGTTTTATAAATTGTTGAAGATGTTTTTAAATGATACTATTTGCAATGAGACAACTATCTTAATTAGTCTATTCTCCCTATGCAATTTAGGCAACCTTTTCAAATAATGTTTAGACTAAATTCTTTCTTTCAATTACACAATCGTGATTAGTAAACAATTCCAATATTAGCTTTGGATACTCAATCAATTAAAGCACAAAATCAAGAAATGCTGAAGTTTAATCACTAGGCAATTTATTAATGACAAAATCGAATATAATTTCTAATTGAACTTATAAGAGATCTCTTGTATGAAGTATTAGTAACGATAATATTTTGAATGTTGTACTTGATGTTCTTTTATTTTTCAAGTTTAAACAGATCATATTGATGCAATTCTCATCAAAATTTAGAGACTAAATATGTAATGGATATGATTCAACAATAAATAGAATAAAATCCAAACAAATTTCTTTCTTGATATTTTTTTCTTTATTTGCTTTCGAACATAAATATTTAAAGATAATTTGGCAATCATCATTCTTACTTTATTATCCACTCTACATTATTTTAATGTTTTCTATCATCTCAAAATGCTTTTTTTTACAGGGTACCGAACACACAGGCACTCTAGTATCTTTGCAAAAATAAGGGGCTGGCTGTCTGCATAAAATGCACCACCCAAACTTTCCTGATGTGATTCCATTGTCAACTACCTTAACTTCTATATAGTTTTTGTATTTTATGTCCTCTGCCTCCCAAGCCTAAGGGACAGATGCTATTGGAATGTTTGCCTAACCAGTTTTAATTCTTTCATTGTATAATATAACATCATCGACCATGTGTCTCAAAGTGATGGACACATATTCAACGATGTCTCCATCAGATATTGCTACTTCTTCTATCTCCTTGGGCTCGTCATAAAAGGAATTCCATGACAAGCCTTTGTTCAACATATTTTCCATATCAACCTTTACTTGACTATTATCATATACGCTCTTGATGGCCAATTTGATACTATTCTTAACAGAACCCATTCCTAATTTATAGAGATGTAAATAGGTTTTAAGTGTGGACAATAGGGTCTCTCCGCTGATCAGCAATCTTTACTATTTAAATAATGCATCTATGCACTTCACAATCAGATAATGCAAATTTTCATCTTACAATTTAGTGCAGCTGATTATGGACTCCACTATCGAATCTATGAGCATCCTATCTTATTGCTTTCCCTTTTCAAATTCCAAGTAATCATAAGAATAACCATCTATGAAGTTTTAGGATATCAATTTCTTAAAATAGAGGGAAATTATACTTCAAGGTCGTAGAGGCAGCATTCAGTGATTTTATTATGTTTGATATCGATGCAATACTTGTAGATAATGAAATACTTGTTGGCATTTGTTGCAAACCGATTAACATCATTTTTCGTCTATTCAATTTGCTCTTATTATTAAACTATTCATACCTAATGATTTCTCAATCAATGTCTTAAGACTCACCATTTGTTTCGGAAGTAGCTTCAGCAACTTATTCAAAGAGCTGGTTAACAATTCCTGATAAATAACATGACTGTCTTAATTTTAATTCATTTTAATAATAAATATTGATATAACAATATAATAATGATAATTTATATAATATAATTATTTGGCTAAGAATTTTAATATTATTTATACTTCAGAAAAATAAATTAGATTTACAAAAATCGTGAAATAACTAATTTGTTATATGTTTAAGTAAGCTCATAATCGCTGAGTAATAAATATCTTGGACCTGATTTTTAAGAATAGAACAAAATCTTACAAAAATTTTATTTATAACCGCCATTATAATATTGAATTTTCATTAATACAAATGATAATCGATTTTTTCAACAATAATTAGAGAATATTACCAAATAAGAGTTTTGAGGAGCTTTTCCCGTTGAGCAGTTTCAAATCTTTGATTATTCAATAACAACTTTTAAAGTATTCAAAAATTTTAGAAATTTGCTATAGATATTCTTCACAATACCCAATAAAGAAGTTTGTTATGTTAAGAGGAGGAGGCTGTGGATCATCAAAATCTAAAAAGAATCTCGATTCACAATTACAATAAGATTAAAACTATATGAGTGCATTATAATTACCTGAAAACTATCTTACCAACCTTAATAATTATCTAAAACTAATAGTAGACGAAGCTTAACTCATTTGTGAAACAACTAAGAGAAACGAGTAAATGAAAAGGATTTAATGGTTTATTCATAACAGAGAATACTTGAATTATTATTGTAATGACAAAAAAGAAGGAAGCAAAATTTATGAATTAGTTAAGGCAAATTTTGAAGGCTTATTGACAGTACTTATCACCTATTTAAGGAATTCTGGATTTATTTGTTATTAAGTATTATAGATTTGTAATGAATTATTAAGAATTATTTATATTTTCTAATTTAGGGAATCTAAGAGATTATTAAAAAATGAAGATTAATAGGATTACATTTAAAAGTTGTCAGAATTTGAAACATAATTAGAAATTGAATAAGCTAATGTTTGGAAAACAGGATTAGAGTTCGAAATTAAAATAATGAAAATTATGATTATGAATTCAAAAACTGATTCTACTGAAGGAAATGATGCATTAATCAATTTCTTTAAGGAAGCAGGAAAATCAATCATAGCATTATCACCATCTGAGGATTTGCTATAGACAGTAATGGATGGTGGAAAGTATTTATTAAAAAAAGGAATCGAAAAAAAATTATATCCAATTGAAACGTATTAAATTTATTACTTATTTTAATTGATTAAATGGTCAATTATAAGACAACTGAAATCCAAGTTATCTATATACAAATAAATATAGTAATTAAAAGATGTTTTTTAATAATATATATTAGTGTCTGATAATTGGATATTACATTTTAGTTGGATATAAATGATTATGGATGTCATTGCCTATCGACCTATTATAAATAAATCTAATATATCAAAAAATTAATTAGATTAATAATTTATTAAATGGAATCTTCTTATTGAAAACAATTTGATTTATTAGGTTTCTTACAACAAGAATTAGGCAATTATGAGTTTGTTTTAAGATTAAGAAAAATCAATATATGATAATGAATTAATTAGTTTATTGGATGTCTATTCTAAAAAGAAGTTTGTCCTATTTTCCTAATTTCTATTAAAAGGAGATCTAACTCAAAATCTGAATCTATGGGATCATTATAAAGACTTCTCATTTAAATAATAAAAGGATAAAAAATAATAAGATTATGAAATTATTCTAGCAAGTTATGAATTAGACATATTGTAAAAATTAATTAATAATATCAAATCTTAAAAAGATGAATTGTTTTCAATTCATTCTGAAATTATCTAGTCATTTTAAACTTATATCAAAGAACCTACATAAATTTCAATTTAAATTATTTAAGATCATCAATAAGCCTCTTAAAAGCAATTCTTATAAACATATACATAATTAATTATTTTAACAAATTACTTTATAGAATTGACAAAATTTGAAATTGCAAAACTGAACTTACTTAGTCCCTACTTAAATTAATTTGAGAACAAACCTAAAATTTTAGAGGTACTTAAAGAAAAGATAGTTAACTTTTAATCGAAAGAACTTACTGAATTTTTTAATTAACTTTTAAATTACTTCTAGGTTGCTATTGAATTTTCAAGCCTTGCAAATGAAATGAACTTATTTTTAGATTCCAAAAATTAAGACAATTTTAAGGTAATAAATGATAAAGTTGAAATTGATAAATTTTAAAATATTTTCACAACATTTGAAAATCAGTTTAATTAATTATGTCTAAATTTAACAACCTATAAAGAATAATTTATTAAATCTATTCAATAGAAAGAATAAATTAAATCTATGGCAATTCAAGTCGAAGATTAGAATATTCTATCAATAATTTCATATAATAAAAATGGAGAATAAAGTATAAATAAAAAGTTACAAGAGATCTTTATGAATAATTATAAATTCTTCGATTCTGAATTAGTAACCCTGGAGAATGTTTAATCGAATTTAATTCAATGTAGGCTCATCATTCTAACTTTATAATATTTAAAATAATTCGCTAATATATAAAGTCAATACCTGATGATAATAAAGCAATAGCTAGAGAATTACAATAATACTCCTAACTTATCAACAGAAAAAGTGAGCTTAGATAATAAATAAACAGTTTTTAATATTTTGATTTTGCAACAATAAAAAATTAAAGCATTGATCAACGAAAATATTCAACAACCTGATTAATAGATAATTGATGTTAACTTAAAAAGTTTGTTATCTTAAATAGAATCTGATTTCATTTGTGTTAAAAGTTAAAGTGAATTAGTACAAAATTAAAACAATGCTATACTTAAATTGTTTACAAATGCTTAATTCTTATTTCTGTAAGTTTTGAATAAAAATGAAAAATTACCAATATTATAGGATCTTTTGAAAGATTATGAGACATATATTAATGATATGAACCAAAGCTATAAATTATCTATTCAAGAGGTAAATAAATATGAAGATGTGAATAACAATAAGGAACCTTTTAATTTATTCGATCAATGTTTCAGTGATAATCAGAAATTGATCCAAAATATAAAGGAAACCAAAAAATATTATAAATATTATGAAAAACTAATAAACTTTCAGTTAGAATTGCTGCCCAAGTCAATTATATAAGACTAAGTAATATCTGGATAAGATTAACAGAGATAGGGGTAAGGTAGATAACCAATAGAATTAAATTAAGAAGAAAAACTTAAACTAAATTAAATGAGAGAGAAATTTTTTAATAAGAATGTGAAAGATTCAATTGAAAAACTCATATCAAGCTTTAATCCTTAAAGTGAATAACAAAATAGTTCTGATTCTATGGTTAATCTAAATTTTACACAATTTTTGTAATTCTTTTATTCTCTCTCTAATGCTGAATATAAAAAAGTATTAAAGCCTGATAAAATTAATGATTCTATTTGGTTGGATATTAAAAATGCATATAATGACACAAAAGAGAAGCTTCTTGATTTAGTAGATCTTAAACCTGATTACAAAGTAAGAGAAGGATTCGTCTACAACTTAATAAGACTATAACACAGTATTTAAGAATAAAAAGTTAAGGCTTTCTGTTGCAAGCATCTACAATACATTTGGGTATTTGAAAAGGATCAAAGAGTTAGAAATTTATTGAAAAACAAGGAGCTAGTAGAAATTTAGAAACAACTATTTGCTTAAGATATAGATAATTTGTCAGGATCAATTAAGGATGAGTTGAAATAAAGAATGTTAAAGTTAGAAAACTTACAATAAGAGATTAAACTTGAAGGAAATTTATAAAAAAGGGAGGAATTATAAATTTAATTGAAAAAGACGTATGATGAACTAGATGAATCTTTAGATAATATATCAGAAATGTCAGAGGCCATGGATATAAGTCTAGTATTTTTGAAAGACATATCAAAGGATGTAAAATTGATTAAAGCTTCAATTGATAATTTATAAGAAAGTATAAATTAAGTTGGTGATGATATTCGTAAACTTAGAGGAAAGAGATATGATGAACTATTAGAAATAAGAAAATAAAAGATATTATTATAATCCAAGCTAACTGAAGTGGATTCAGTTTATGTGTAATTAACAACAATAGAATATGATCCAATTAGTGGTGAGATTGTTAATTATAATAATGAGGCAAAACTAACAAAATTAATGTGTGCTCAATGGAACGCCTTTGAAGGAGAAGTGAATGAATTCATTTGGGGAGATAAATAAAAGGATGTTATGTTATTATCAGGAAATGCAGGTTCTGGTAAGAGTAAGGCAGCTAGAAAAATAGAAGAATTTATTTGGAAATAAAAAGGAGTTTAATCAAAATGGATTCCGATTTATGTATCACTCCCAACCTTAAAGAATCCTAAATTTAATTTATTTGAATAGGCATTAGAAACTGAAAACTATTAATTTGATAAATATTAGGTAAAAGAATTTAAAGAAGCCATTTAGGCTAAGAAAGAATTCATTATCCTTATACTTGACAGTTATGATGAGATGAAACAAGATTGTATCTAATCAAATCTAATTTTGACAAATAAATTGATATAAGAATTCAATTCTCAGGATAGATAGATGAAAGTAATTATAACAACAAGAAAAGAGATACTCAATACAGTTGGATATTAAACTTGGTTTTATGGGGAAAGTCTCTAATCTTTAAAGGAAGTTTAGTTATAAAATTTTAATGAAGAATAGTAAAATGAATATTTGAATTAATACGTTGAGTTAAGTATTAAAAGGAAAATTAAGGAGATTTATGAGTTTGTTAAATAAATTGCTGGATAAGGCTTTGATTTGGATGAATTCCTAACAATATGGGGTTTGATTTCATCATATGTTAAAACTTGTATTGAAAATTCGAAGGGAATGGATGGAATTTTTTATAACAATGCAGAAGAATGGGTAATAACAAAGATAAAAACTCATAAGACGCTTGAAATCTTAAAAGAAGAATAGACAACCACATTGAGGAAAGATTTATTAGCTTTATGGAGTGTGAACAAATTTAAATCATCAATTAAGAGTGTCAATATTGAAAATTTATTGACCACACCATTCATGCTGGAAATTGTTGTTTAGGTTTTACCAAACATGGCCAAGAAATACTCAAGGTCATAACAAATGAAAGAGATTTTTATATAGAACTATTTAAAACTTAAAAAATAAGTAAGAATTTCTAAAATAGCAAGAGAACAATACCAGAAAGAAAATTCAAAATTCAAAAATATAGAATAATAAAACTTAACAAATTTCGATGATGAATACTAACCAGCATAAGAAAAAGAAGAAGAATATTAATTGAAAATTGAGAAAACAAAAATAAATTAAATTGTTGACATGCTTGATAATGAGAACTTCTTCTCAAAATACTCAATTGTTAGTCAATTAAAGCAAGATGGTAATGCTATTATTGTTGATAATACTTAAATTAGATTTGGTTCTAGTAATGATATTAATTTTGTAATAATGGCTTTATAAATGAAAAGGTTCACCGTTTTTGAATTTTATGAGAGTTTTATTAATTTTTATCATGAATAATAGACTCAAAAATAAAGAGAACTTGGTAAAGTTTACAATTAGGATAGTTTTGCATTTGACATATATCAATTCTCCTATTCATTGGCCATAGATATGACTGTAAAAGAATTATCATAAGTTGGGTATAAGCCATTAGGAAAACTTGATCTAAAAAGCAACTATAAAATTCAATAAGAAGCTGATGATTGTTTTAAGCAATATTTTGATGTTGAAGATGAGTACAAGAAATTGATTAGAAGCTGCATTCTGTTAAGCGCTAAGGGAAGTACTTTTTCATTTACACATAAATCAATTCAAGAATTCTTTGTGGCCAAATACATTTATGATTTCTTATTATCTTTGAAGAAATTTGACAAAGAAAATTTAGAGAAAATTAAGGAAATTTTACAAAAATCAGTATTTAATAATTAATAATTTAATATCTCCACTGATAACTTTAGGGGTGCAATCTATTTTCTTAGAGATTAATTAATCAATGTTGAAAATATTAATTCAAAATTGATTGAAATAGTAAAGCTTTCAAAGGATTAAGATTCTTACAGCAGAGCTGCATCAAATAGCATTTATCTATTAAGCTCAATGAATGTTTATTTGGGATCTCAAGACTTCAATAGTATAAATTTAGCCAATACTGATATCTCAGGGTTAAGTCTATTTGATTGTGATTTAAGTAACTCCAACTTTTAAAATGTTGAAATCAATTCATGCAATATGAATTTAGCTGATTTGTCAAATGTAAAATGGACCAATATCATTTGTAAGGAAAAACCTCATTTACAGGGACATAAAAATGAAATTTTAGAGGTACAATTTTCACCCGATGGCAAATTTATTGTATCAATAGAATTTCAAGAATAAACAATTAAATTATGGGATGCAGAAAAATATTCATTCATGAAAGATTTAGAAGGTCATACAAATAATGTGAATTCACTTTCATTTTGTTCAGATTCTTCAATCCTTTATTCAGGGAGTGATGATTGCAAAATCTTAAGATGGGATTTAAGCAACGCTTAGTAAATTAAAAGTGAAGTAGTAGAAGTTATGGATAATCAAGTTAAAAAAATAAAAGTTTCTTAAGATTCTAAAAAATTATATATAATAGATTCTGAATAATGTTTCTAAATCCTAGATTTATCAAAAAATGGTTAAACTCAAGATTGTGTTTTTGAAATTAATCCAGATGATTAACTAGTAAGGTTTGCGTTACATCCTAAAGAACCAAAAGTAGCATTACTCCATAACAACTATTTAGAATTAAGAGACTACGAAAAAAATTAATCAGTAAAGCTTGAATGCAGTGCAGTCTATAGATGGGAATAGTTCAGCATAATATTTAGTGATGATGGGGAATATTTTGGAATGTTTTCTTAAAATGAAGTTATTGTTTGGAATCTAAAATAAAATGTAGAATAACCTGAAAAATAATTAGTTTTCTAATACGTTATCATTCTAAATTCCCTTTAATTTTCCTAAGATAATGAACTGATCATTTGCGGATAGAATTTTATGTTTAGGAGTATAAAAGATTAATTCATAGGAAAGTAGAAATGCACTGAAGCTTAAATCTCTCCTAAAGGTGATAAAGCTGCTATTGCTTATGAAAATACACTTAGTTTAATAAATATCAATAATTAAGAATTGCTTTGTTAAAGAAATTTTAGCGATCTTCAACCTGGCAATATGCTTTTTTCAAAAGATGGTTCCAAATTGTCATTATTTTTAAACACTGAGGGTGTTAAGAAACAATTTATGATTTTGGATGTCTATAATAAGCTCACGAATATTTGTTTTATACCATTTTGGGACATATATTGGATTAGTTATGTATTATCAAATGATTTTGAAACCCTTTATGTTTCATATAACAATTCATCAAAATTTCCTTACTATAATTTTAGCTCTTATTAGTTGATCGCAAACATCATTAAGATAGACACTAAAAAAATACATAAAGAGATAGAAAATAAGAAATACTCTATAAGTAGCTAGAAGTTTTGTGCTTAAACTTAAAAAGGAGTCATTGCTTACACTACAGAAGACAATAAAATGATTCAAATATATGATTTGGATAAAAATTTAGAAATATAAAATCCTACATTATGTTCAGAAAAAAAAATCAAAGATTTTCTATTTTCACCAACTTAAAATGAATTAGCAATTATGTTTGAAGATGAATTATAATTTTGGAATTTAGATTCCAAGTCTTTTAAAGTTTAAAATAATGTTAATTTAATGGGTTAAGATGTAAAATCTATCAATTATTCTCCAGATGGCTCATTAATAGTATTAATATTAGAAAATTAGTTTTAAATTTATAAGGTTAAAAGTGAAGAACCGCCAAAGATATTTTAATGCGAAGGAAATACGAATGTATCAATTTCATTAGAGAATGACATAATTGGCTACTATTAAAATGAATATTACAAAAAAAATGTAATTTTAATAAATACAAAAAACAAATCTGAATAAAAGATTTTAGAAGGCCATAAAGAAAGCATAATTGAATTACGATTTACTCGTGATTAAAAGTCCTTAATAACTGCGAGTCAAACAGAACTTATATAATGGGATCTATCTACATTTAAGATCAAAGATTAAAAACAATTCTTTATGAAGGGAATTAATTTATAACTTTCATATCATAATGAATTAATTGCTTTATTTTCAGATCATGTTGTAGAATTGTGGAAGTATTCATAGGACCAATTGATATTTATTGCCTCTTAATTTTTTGACTTTTTTATTGGTTCATTAAGCTTTCTATATGATGGTTATCATATCTTGATTTAAATATAAAATTAGGAATTTTTGTTATATAGTTTGGATACTTTTTAATTTTAATAAATATATTCAAAAAGTTTTAAGATAGGTACGATATCCACTAATAATTTAATCGCCTTAGTTGATAGTAATTATCATAATCTTTCATTATATTAAAGTAATTTAGAAAAGCCTGAACTTGAAATAAGAATGTAAGGAAATATTATAAGTTATTTGAAATTTTTGGAGAATAAAAAGAATTTAATATTATTTCAAGAGAGTTAAAATATTTATATCTATGATTATAACAAAGAAGAAGAAGTATATCAATTTAAATTATTTCTATATTATGATACGCCATAATTATAACTATAAGGTGATTTATTAATATCAGGCAATGGCAAACACATTACATTTGTTAGTTTAAGTGATTTGAGTAAAATAGAGATATGTGGATATCACAATGACATTGATTCGTTTTCTATTTAACATAACTAAGAATTTGGTTTAGGAATAAAAAATGAACAATTGATTTTAATAAAAGACTTATTCAATGTTTAATTTGCATTACCTATAAATTCAAATGATAACATTAGAAAAGGATTTGTGTCTAGCTAAAATAACATCTATATTGTTCAAGAAAAATAAATCTAGGTTTAATGGATGAATACAAAATAAATACATGAGTTTAAGGAAGATATCAGAGCTGCAGCTTATTGCAATGAAACTGACTAGATAGCAATCTGTACATAATCGCAACTTATTTTACTTTAATTTTAAAAAAATAGTATAAATATTGTCAGCAAATTTGATTTATAAATGGAAATCTATGAATGCAAATTGACTGTTACAAGTGATGGGTCAGGATTGACTTTAAATAAAAATTTAATGATATAATTATTTTCCATTACAAAAAATTAAAAAATCATTTGCAGAGGAATGTATGATAAGGTATTTGTAATAAAGGGTTCTTTAGAATATAGTAGATAATTAAGATTTGCATAACTATTTTACAAACATGGTACTTCTAATAGTTAATAACACCTCGCTATCCTGGATTAAGATGTAAATTTATTCAGAATTCTAAATTTCAAAAGCTTAAAATAAATTGTATAGATTAATTTTAGATTATCATATAAACAATTACACTTTTAATTAAGTCCAGAGGAAGATACAATATTCTTTGTTTTGGATGATAAAGTGGTATATTCTCTGGACATGAACAGTTTTGGTACATAAAAGGTAATGAGATCTTACTAAAATCTTAATTTAAGTGTTATTGAAAAGGATTTTTTTGTGTATGTAGAATCTGATAAAATCGCATAATATTAAGTTTCAACAAAATCTTCTACTGAAATTACAACAATTGAAGATATAACTTATTTTAATTATTTACCGTAATAATAGTTGCTATCAATTAGTACAAAGAATAATAATATAATATTTTGGGATATCAAGGCTAAAAAGAATGTTGGAACTCTAAAGGGACATCAAGATACAATCACATGCTTGACAGTTTCACCAACTGATGGAATTCTCGCCTCTGCGAGTAAGGATAGATTAATAAAACTTTGGGCTATTAAGTAGAATGAATCCTTTGAGATTCAACAAGCTCATTCAAATTCATTAACTTCTATTGCTTATTCTTAAGATGGTTAATTACTTGCTTCTGCATCTGATACACCAATATTTCTTTGGGATGTTGTTGATAAAAAATTGATTACTCAACTAAAAAAACATGAAACTTAGGTTTAATGTTTGGAATTCTCCCATTGTTCTAAATATTTAGTGTCAGGAGATAAAGATGGAGTAATAATATTTTGGAATATTGAAATTCCTTAAGTAGCTAAGTTTGTTTATATCATAGATGAATATAAATGTCCTATCCATTCCATAAACATCTCTAAGTAAGAATAAAAATTATTAGTGATTTATAATTAAAATATACTTATAAAGTGGAATTTTGAATAAATTGAAAAATAACAAAAAGAGAGAGCCTTATGTATTAATACAGATTCAAACCTATTCAGTTTTATTTAGAGCGATTAAATTATCTATTAAAAAGGAGACCAATTGAAAATTCTAAATTTCGAAACATAAGAAGAAGACAAATTTGAGTTCAATCTAGAATCAGAAATTAAGTAAATATCATGTTCTGAAGATGGTAATCTAATACTATGTTTAAAAAACAGCTCTGACAGTTTGATATGTTTTTAAAAAAACAATGAAAATCTTTGGTCTTAAAAGTCTATTAGTATAGAGAAAACAGATTATATTTCACTTTCTCCAGATAAAAAATTTTTATTTTCAACAAAATCAACGATTGATTAAATGTCATGGCTAGAGTATGGCGAAAGATGGATATTTAAAAACAAAATTTACGACTTTTAAAAACTATTTAAGGAGGAGAAAAAAATACTGTGCGAACTTCAAAAAATTTTTAATAATATTTCGTCATGTAGAATTTTTATGTCATATGATTTAACTCTAATTGCTGTAGTTATAAATGACAGAGATATTAAGCTCTTTGATATTAATAATTAATAAAATATCAAAGAATTCAAAACTAACAACCCTATTTATATTTAAATATCTAGAGATTTAAAATATTTGGCTTGTTTAGATCCAGTTGATGAAAATAAATTTGGCAAACTCATTATAGTATGGGATATAAATGATCCATCAAAAAGGAGACAACTATTAATGAATGAATGTTTGATCAAAATTTATATCTTTTCTTCAAAAAATTCTAATAAGATCTATGCCCTATACCAAGATCGAACTGTTAGAGAATGGGATATTACAACAGAATAGTCTTCCATAATAGTTACACTATCTGAAAGTTTTGATATCAACAATAGGTTTGTATTTTCCTAAAACCTTAAATTCTTGGCCTGTTTTAATTAAACGAGTTTATTTATATGGGATTTTCAAAATAAAGAGCAATCCATTTAGGATTGTGAAAAAAATATTGAGAATATTTATTATTCTTAAAATGAAGATATTTTTGCTGTTGCTATGGAGGTCTAAGAATTACGTATACCTCCAATACGTTATATAGATGTCATATTATTGAAAGGCGAAGACAAATTTACAATAACATTGGATTCAAGTTATGTATATGAGGATAAAGTATCATACATTTGGTTCTCACATGATGATTAACATTTAGTTATTTGTCTGAATATTTTTATCTCCCTTTATTAAATAAAATAAAATTTAGAATGTAAACGTTTGGGTTTTTGGACTATAAATCAAGAAATAGATAGGATGTTTTTTAATCCAAAAAATATGAATGTATTAATGTAATAAACTTCTAAAAATGATATTGCTCTCATTATTTTAGACCCTACAATTATTAGGGAAGATAGTTTTGGAGGTTAAAGTAATAGAGAATATATATGTTGTTATTCACCTGATAGCAGATATTTAGCTAATTTTTCCCCTCATTTAAAAATATATGATTTATGCAATCTTTAAAATTAGGTAATGAAAGATACTTAGGATAAATATTATGGTGGATGGATTTAATTTTAATCAAAAGATGTGTTAGTTTTATCCTCTCAAGAATAATTGTAAATTTTAGGTATTAATATGGATAAAGAAATACCAATTCAAATAATTAACAATTATAATTTCGAATATCCTATAGATTCATTTACATGCACTAAAAATCATATTTTAATATAATTTAATTTAGATATCGATGCAAAAAGAGTGTGTTTATCTGAATTTGGGAATTTTCAAAAAAATTTATTCAAAGCAATTTATAACACTAGGGCACAACCCATTTTGTCACAAAAGTCTTAGTACTTTTGTTTATGCAATTATAATAAAATATAAATTCTAAACATATAACACTTATAATAAGAAATATGTTTTGAGGGAAAAAGAAAGTCAAGAGTACCTGAGATATTCTACTTATCTGATGAGAACCTGATTATATTATGTGATTGGAATTAAATTTAAATATTAAATTCTGTAAGTTTTAGAATTATTAGATCAATAGAAATCAAAAATTATCTAGATTAAATTGAATTTTCTAAGATTTCAAAATACTGGGTTTAGAGCTATTTTCATTCTTTTAATGTACTCACTTTTGATTATAATTAATTTAATCTCTCACACTTTTGGACTGAAGATTTAAAAGATGACGTCCTCAACTATATTACTTTATCACCAAAGGGTGATTTACTTTTAACAGGGCAGAATAATTCCAAAGAAATCACAAATTCAATTACCCTATGGAAAATAGAGCAGCGTCAAAAACTCTGCACTAGTAATAAAATAAACGATCGAATAAAAATTCTTAAATTTTGTCCAGATGGAGGTACTTTTGCGGCTGGCCTTGTAGATGGATCTATTAATTTATACTCAATTGATATATCGAAGACGAATTTCTTTAAAAAATAAAAATAATAATCCAATCAGAAATGTTAAATAATTTGTGTCAAATCCTTTTCAAAATAATCTTTTTTGACTGCAGAATTTTCCATTTTATAATAATCATAAATAGAATCAGAAAATAAGTCCATTGTAGAATTGTTTAACTAAAAAGGAGGACAAAAATGAAAATATACATAATAATTACAGTATTAATTTATTTTTCATTTAATTAAATGATGAAAATAATATTTATTTGGTTTGTTTAGACTATCTTAATAAAGAATTATGGTTTTCGATTACTGTTTTTAAATCAAGAATTTTTAATATTATAACTAGAATCTAATTTATATAATAGCATGCCTATTAGATATTTATATTATCTTATAAAAAAAGATTGTATTTATAATCTATAAATATATATCATAATACTACAGATAATAACCCATCTGATAATTCAAATAGAAATTTATCAATTTCTGTCTAAAAACTTTCTATGCAGCTCTTATCAGATTTAATCTAGTTAGAATATAAATTGTACCTCCAACAAAACTTCCGTTGAATTAGATTATGTTGAAATATTTGATATTATTATTGCCAAGTTTTAGCCATTTATTAGATAAGATAATAAGCCAATGTTTATTGTTTTCGATACATTTTAGGAAATCAAATCAAGATTTAAATTTTATTTAATTGAATATTAAAATACTTAATTTGTGTTATCTACAATAACAGTAGCAAATGGTTGTGATAATAGCTTCTTATATAGCTATAAATAATTTCCTTCTAAATAGCACTTGATAATCAAAGAAGTATCGTAAGTTATGTATTAAAAGCAATTCTATGATAAATACAAAAAGGTGTTAGGTATGAGGAACTCGAGCATACTAATTCTGTAATTCTACGTTCTGATTGCAAATGATTGCGAAGATTCATTTTTAATGTCTTGCAATATGATATCAAAAGCAAAATGCATAGAGAGCTTTGGATTTACTTTAACAACGTAAAACAATTATTTTTCTTAATAAGATGGCAACTCTTCAATTAATTTATAATTATTTTGGATATAGGAATTCCTATCTAATAATATTTTGATTCCTAAGTTATCTAATTTAAATGGACAGTTATTGATGACTCTGATTCCTAAACATATACAGGATTTTTATAAATCTAAAGTATGAGAACAGTAGATTTATACAAAATCACTAACTCCAGTAATTAATTTTGAATTCAATTGCAATTCAGTAAAAATGTTTTTTTAAGGTAATTGCAATGATCTTAAATTCATTATTAGAGTATTTTATTCTGATGAAAATTACTTTTATTAAAATATGTTGTAAGCTATTTGATAGGTAGTTAAGTTTTGTAAATTTTGATTGATTGAATCAATTTAATTATTTATTTTTAATTATAATTAATCTTATTGAAGAGACTCTTTGTACTAAAGTGACTTAACAAAATTTCTATTATATTCTATCAATTATTCAGCTATGTGATCATTTTTCCTTTACAATAGATTGTCATTGTAATCTGAAAGCAATTCCAAAATCTGTTATTTAATATGATTTTCGGGGGTATGAAAATTGATCGACAAGTAATAGAGGATCTTATAGACATTTTGTAAGAGATTAAGTTAACAGATTTAAGTCTACACAGGTTAAATCATAAAAGTTCTAAATTCTGCCAAAATATTTATGTAATCTAATTTACAATTCAAACTGCTCTCATTGAATTTTCTAGTAATTATTAACAAGGTCTAGACTTTCTGGTTGAAACTTATTTAGTTTGTGTTCATTCGATTAATCAGATCATCCAATCTAATTTCATCCGATGGAATGACATTGATGCATTCTTCAATCAATAATAAATACATGATAATGGCTTCAATGTTACACCCATCCCAAATAAAAGCATTACAAATTTCCATTATTTCCAATAAAATGGATTTATTAGTCTCTTAATGAATAGCTGCAATAATCAAGCAACAGATTAGTTCTTCTGGTTCATCCTTTATTTTTGTTAAAAACCAAGTCTAATTGTAGAGTCCTAAGATTGCACTAGTCTTCTTTTAATACAGCAATTCAATTGATTTTTAGATTAAATTGTTAAAGCAATATAGCATGAATAACAGTCTCGTCAATTGGTTAGAAATGAGGAAGGATATCTCTAGAATTCTTATTGAAATTGCAATATTTGTGTTTAAATCCATATCTAATTGAAGTATTTGTAGCAATATTTGGTTCAATTCTTTTTTGTAATTGACTTTCTTGATGTATTTATCGATACAATCAAAAAGTTACCACAATAATTGGCTTGTATTAAAAAATTCATATGATTTGCATTGTGAAATAACATTAATAAGGAAGTTGGAAATTTATACAATTATATCTATTTCGAAATTGTATTAAAGAACATCATATAGGCCAGCTTTGATGATTTTATTATTGAAATCTATTACATTTAACTTATAAATTAGTGTATTTTGGTTTTATTGAACTGTGTTTTATTATTGCAATTGTTTAGGTGAATCAACCAAGACCAAAGATATTAACAACAACATTTTAGATCTTATGCGAACTTCATAGCTGCAAATTTTTTCGTAAAGCAATTAAAGTCGAAGCTGTAAATACTATTTAATTTATTGAGAATCATAATTGACTTATGTAAGGTTATTGGGATTCTGCAATTTGCTTTATAGAAATTCTGATAAGCAAATTATGCAATTAGCTGAGATGTCTCTGTTATTGGAGAAGCAATTTTCAGCTATTCTCAAGTAAATATTAGTTATTGTTTGTTTTGGCATGTCTATTGAATCCACTTCTGTTTCTTTTGTGAGTAATAATTGCAAAATAGAATTGACCGCGCACAATCTTTCATAATGAAAATCCGGCGACCTATTAAATGTTTAAATTATACTATTCGATTATTTAATAGAATGCAGTGTCATAGGATTTTACAATTTGCATAAGATTACTAATGGGTAAGGAATATGCTAATTTGAGGGAGAGTAGTTGAATTTCGTAATCTTTATTGCTAAAGTCCTTCTCTAATTCTAAACAAACGAGTTCAGATGAGGGGAAGGTCTTGAGTAATGGATAGCAATTTATTTTAAGTATTCTATGTAGGGGGTTTTTGTAAATATCGATAATTTTAGCGAAATCTTTTGGATTGGCTGAGGATTCTGAGAGATAACTCTGTATGCTTCTCAAATAATTCAATTGCTTTTTGACTTCAACTTCAACATTATCCATTATTAAATTATATATATAAAATAGTTATAATATCAAAATACAATACAGCCACAACCACCTTTTTTGGCAGACGATTATTATGTATTTTAACCCTATTATTGCTTGTCATTTTATTATTAATTTTGAACTATAGGACTTAGACGAGCGACAGCTTCTTTGGCTTCAATATTACCAGCTTATGCTGCTTATTTATACCAGTATAATGCCTATTATAAGTTTAGTTTGGTTCCAGTTCCTTCTTCATAAAGGACAGCTAGATTGTACTAAGCATTTTCAAAGCCCCCTTTGGCTGCCTAGAGGTACCAATCAAATGCTTCAGTTGGATTGCTTTGCAATAATACTGTAGCCAGGTTGGTCATGGCACACAAATCTCCTTTATCAGCTGCCATTCGATAGTATTTCTTGGCCTCTTCGATTTGAATATGAGTTCCAATACCAGATCTATAGATGTTACCAAGGTTGTTCATTGCTGATACTGATCCCTTGAATTTATAAAAATAGAAGAAGTACTAGTTTAGCAGCTCTTTCAAACCAAGATGTACTCTTTTCAAAATCTTGTTCTACTCCTTGTCCAAACAAATGCATCAAGCCTAGTTAGAACATTCCTTATTCATTCTATAATTCAGCAGCTTTGCTAAAGTATTTATGAGCAATTTTATAATCAGGAGCCACGACTCTACCTAAATAATAGATGGATGCTAGATTGTATGCTGCTTATGCATGTTTGGTAGCAGCTAGTTGATACCTAAAGAGGATATGATTGAAAATACCATTGGATACATTCTTAGATATTTTATTAGGCTCCTTTTCCATCTTCATACATTAAACCTACTCTAAATTGTGCATCAATGTCGCCATCCTAAGCTAGTTTAAGATAATGCTGCATTTCATCATAATCTGTTGTCTATTGCATTGGATTATAAAAATTAAAATAAGAAATGTACTAAAATCATATTTCAATTTTTTATTAAAAAAGCTTTTCAAATACACTGGAAGGACCCTAAGTATCAACGAATTAATTTAACCTCAATTTATTTCTAAATAATGTTGAAAGATCAAATACCTATTATATTCTCTCACATCTAGGGCACCACGCATTCCCATCAGATAACTCTGCAAACCCCAGAGTTCTCTGTCATCTTTATTATCGTAGAAAGGAACAATTGGAATCCCATTGTCCAATTGCCAAGCATAACTGTAAGATGCATTATCAACTAAAACAATTTGACTTAGCGGTCGATCAAATATTCTCAAATCTTTGGTATACATTCCACCTGTAGTCATGATGCAATTGTCTCTAAAAAACCTATGCTAGATCAGTTTATTTTCAGGATCTAAATAATCCAGAACTTATTTAGCATAGCATTGATGTGAGGCTGTAAAAACAATGATTTCAAAATCATCAACTAAAGATTATAGCAATTCTATAGCTCCTGGTCGAATATTGACACCTGCCTTGACAATCTCATGGGAATTCACTCTGATATTCAAAACGATATCTGATTTCTATTGTATTGATTCATTGCAATGAACTAATGTTTCATCTAAATCAAAAATCACAGTAATTTTGTCTGAAAAAATATACAAATTGTATTTACCTTTGTATTTATCTTTTTGTTTCATTTTGACTGCTTTCTTTTTGAAATCATTTGGGTCGGTTGGTCTCAGATGGGATGCCACATAGATCCCTTAATATGTTTAAAAGAAATGGTCTCTGTAGAGAGTACTAAAGTAATCGTCTTAAAGTGGCCGAGTGAAAACTTACTTGATTTTTCCTAAGTAATACTGAAATTAGGCATTTTCCTTATTAAATTTAATGCTTTCAAAATATTTTAATTCTCGATTCGATATTGATTAAGATTGCTATAATGATATTTAACGAGAGTGAACTGGAGTTATCTATTGGGAATGTGCCTTCTGGGGTTTCTGCAACATTCCATTATACATCTTTTTGTAGTTATGATCCTTGGATGCAATTGATTGTTGTCTACTATGCTAGAGCGAGGTTGTAGAATTAACTTTAGATGTCAGAGGTCTAAAATCGATGGAGGATTGCTTGGATGGTTTGAACATATTCAATTCCACACTTGGAGTTACTTTGGTGACAAGCTCATTAAGTAACACAGATTATTGACTATTTGAATAATTACGAATGGGCATATCGTATTTCGATAGGAGTATCTGATTTTAATGTTACATTGTGGTTGCTAGATCTGGGATTTTCAACTGTGCCTTTTTTTGAAGACTCTCTTGACTAAACTTTTTTTTGAGGAATTCTCTGCCAAAAATATTGGCATTTGAGTTAGACTTGGAATTGGTAGTTCGAACTGAATTGATGATGTCCAGTTTCTGGGTTTTAAGATTTTGAGTAGTCCTCTAGAATAAATCTATTGAATTATTAGTTTCAATTTGAGGCCTGGGTTTCATAATTTAATTTATTATGTCATATAGCTACCTCTTTAAATTTATATTGATTGGTGATACAGGTATATATGTATTGTGCATTCCATTCAAGGTGTTGGCAAATCTTGTCTCCTTTTGCAATTCATAGATAAGCGATTCAGACAGAAGCACGAAGTCACCATTGGTGTGGAATTCGGTGCAAGAATGATAGAGTTTGATGGTTAGAATATCAAATTGCAAATTTGGGACACGGTATTCTCAATGACTTAGATTGTTTAGGCAGGATAAGAATCGTTTAGATCTATCACTCGTTCCTATTATCGATCGGCAGCTGGTGCAATCATTGTCTATGATATCACTAAAAGGGAGACCTTCGAAAACATCTCCAGATGGTTAGAGGAAGCTAAATAAAATGGAAATCCAAAATTGACTTTTACTCTGGTTGGCAATAAGAGCGATTTGGAGGCAGAGTACATTTTGATTCTTAATATTTATATAGTCGATAGGTTTCTTTTGAAGAAGGACAAGAATTTGCAAGAAATAACGGTATTGACTTTGTGGAAGTGAGTGCTAAGACAGCCAATAATGTCGAAGAAGTTTTCCTTAAGACAGCCTAACAAATTTTAGAAAAAATTAATAGCAATCAAATTGACCCAAAAAATGAAAGTCATGGAATCAAAGTTGGAACTGAACAAGGAATCAAAAAATCGTTTATTAATAGTCCTCAGTAATTGCAATCACAACCAGAAGCTGAAGATAAGCAAGGAACATGTTGTTGAACCAGATATTGAATTACATATCTATAAATATTATAATAGATTTTTATATTCAATAATATATAGAATATATATATTATCAATTTTTATATCTTTCGCTTATGCATTCTTTTAGGATCCACAAATCAGAATTTATAACCTTATTTTTATTTTCATTATCATCCAAAAATTGCAACATCTAACAATTTTTTTCATTGCCCTATTTAAAATTCTTGAGTTCATCCAAAAGACTGACTGAATACTCTTCATAACGAACTTCAAACTAATTGCTAATTTGGAATTCAAAAATGTTCAAATTTAGAAATTCAGAAATGTTGACATCATTCTGTAGTGCTACCTCATAGATGTTAATTAAAAACAAAAGTAATTCTTGTCTATAGTTAAAATATTTAAAGTTCTCAGGAAGTTTTATGATGACATTTTAGTTTGAGTATTAGATTTTCAGATAAAAACTAGTGAAAGCACCATTTAGAACATTCTTAAATCTTATACAAAATTAAGTTAGATCTTTGTATTTATTTTCAATTGATGAAATAATTTGAGCAATCTAATTCAATTGTTATTTGTATTAATTCATAGAATATTGGAGATTGCCTATAAATTCTTAATGTTAAGGAACATTAACCTTTAAGAAGGACTACTCAAGATCAATCTTTTCTAAATAACACCATGGATGTCTAAATAAATCCTCAAAACTGATTCTATTTTTTGGATCTTCTACCAGCATTTTCCTTAGAATATCCTTACATTCTGCAGAAACTGAGATGTGTTATGGGAATTACAGCTGAATTTTTAAAGATTATTAGTACTTTACAAGTTTAAATTGCTATGAGTAAGTCTTACACAGTTCCTTTTTATGGCACGAATGGAGGTTAACCAAACAGAATTTGAAAGATCATCACTCCTAGTGACCAGATATCACATTTATGATCGTAAGAATTTGACTTTCTATTGATGCTTAATAGAATTTAAATACTTTAGTATTTCAGGAGCCATTGTGATAGGGGTGCCACAGTAGGATTCCAGGAGTTCTGTGTTGATTAATGACTTAGCAAATCCAAAGTCCCCTAGTTTGATTTACATCTATTCGTTTATTAGTATATTGGCTAATTTGAGATCGCGATGAACGACATTTTTTAAACGTAACATTTTCATGGCATCAATTAATTGAAGTATGATTGGTTTTGCTTCGGATTCAGGTAATCTGTTTTTGAGAGAATTCTTTTTGATATACTTTTCTAAGTCTCCTTAAGCACAGTATTCTAATATCATATTGATGGAATCTGGGCTTTGTTAGACTTCTTTCAATTCAACTATATTTTTGTGTCTTATTGATTTCATTATTTGAATTTCTGAATGGAACAATTCAAGCATTTTCTATTTGTGGAGCCCTTCCTCCATATCTATATTGATTTATTTGATAGCAACAATTTCTTTTGTTTTTATATGCTAGGCCTAATAGACAATAGCAAATGCTCCCTTTAATATAGACATAAATCAACTTACTTTGCCAATGACTTTTAAAATTTGATAATTCTGTATTGGGTGTTTGCTCATTTATATTTATTTTAATGAAATAAAACATGTCAAAATCAACTATGTAGGACACTAAAATTTCATATGATGCTCCTCCTTTGGATTTTTCCAATCTGAATATCAAATCCTTGGCTGATTTAAAACATGCTATCCCCAAGCAAGGCAAACGTAAGTAGGCCCCAATAGACGAACAGAAGGAGGATAAAAAGAAGGAGAAGCAGCAATAACAGCAATAAGAAAATGAGAATATTCAAGTGTAACAGAACCAATAGCAGGAATAAGAGGACGAAGATAAGTTAGAAGGGGACGAGAAAGAGAGAGAGAAGCGGGAGTTGCAGAGATAGAAGGAAGAAAAATTGACACCAGTGATTGTTCGTACAATTGGATAACCTGTTTAATAATCAACCAATGTGTACAAGCCAACAATCGATGAAAAAAAATAAACAAAGAAGCAATTTTAAGTTCAATTAGTTCAATGTTCTTTGATCCTAAGTTACAATAAATTGACATCCTTGCACAATTTTTACAATATCATTGATCAAATCATGATTAATTGTAAACAATTGCAGTGGATTGATCTATCGCACAATATGATTGAAAGTCTGGACTATGTAATTGATATTAATTTATAAAACAGAATTTTGCCGAATTGCCAAATGTAAAGGCGTTGTACTTGCATGCAAACAAATTGAAGGACATTATGGAATTCGATAAATTGCAGTGTTTGACAGAATTGAGAACTTTGACTGTTCATGGAAATCCCTTTGATGCCATACCAAATTTTAGATTGTATGTAATTGGATTGTTGCCTACCTTAAAAAAATTGGATAGTGTGTTGATATCCAAAAAGGAATTAGACAATGCCAATGTGTGGAGAAATACGTTTAGAATGATTAAACCACCTATAATTAAAATATGAAACTTAATCTCGAAATTTTAAATTACGATAATCCACTATCTAACTTCTTGGTTAAAATCAAGTACGGCACTCAAGTTCATTAAACTACAGTAGGAAACAATTGGAATCAGAAGTTCATTCTTGAAGTCAGGAAGGCTGTCGATTTAAAAGTGGAAGTGTGGTAGAAAGATGAGGAATTTCATTTGATTGGAGAATCCATTGTTCCAAAATTAGCATAGATCCATCATCTTGACATTGTAGGACAGGGGAAAAAGGAGGGAGTTCTAGTTGTGGAATACAAGGATGTAGAGCTTCAGAATCCTAAAGTCAATCATAAATTAGAAAAGCCATAATCTTTAATCAAGAGATTGAATGAATCTTTAAACACAGAAGTTCAATAAACCTATGGAAATATCTAAGAGTATTTCGCATAATAATTTGAGAATCATGAGTTGAGTCATTAATCGAAATAAACAGCTTCAAATTTGATAATGGAATCATTGCAAAAGACCATTAAAGGAGTATAGATAAATGGGAGTCAATATCATTTTGATGATTACGATTAAAAGAACGTAATTGAGCAGACCAAAATTAAAGCTCTTTAGAAAGAACTTATAAAAAAGGATCTATAAAAATATGAGAAGAGCAGAAGAGAGGTTAATTTATAAATACTTGATTTGGATGATATGGATTTGAGATTTGAATAATAGGAACAGAAACAATAGATTTTGACTTTAAGAAAAGAATTAGTATAAAAGTTACTGTACATTGAAGAGAAAATTGAACATTTAAAAAGACATTTGAAATTGGATTAGCTAAATAAACATGCATCATAATCTATTATGAATAGTATGGCAGAATTGAGTTAGATTAGCATGTATAGAGAACCAGTTATTAAGTCGGAAGTGGATCCTTAGAAGGAACAACAGAGATAAGAATTTATTAAGAAATAAATGAGAGAATGGAATGAATTATAGGAGCAGAGACTAAAGCAGATTGAAATTCAAAAGGAAAAATTATAAAAGACTGAAGAGAAAATAAGAAAGTAACAAGTACTCATTCAGGAGGCTAAGACTAAGGAAAAAAGAGAGGAGATAGAATAAAGATTGAATAAGTTGAAGGAGAAATAAAAACAAAGAGAATAAGATTTATAGGAATAAAACAAGAGGTACTTGGAAAAGAAGAAACAACATCATCTTGCTGAGAAATATGCCTAATAGGATGCTGCATATATGATGGAATTGTAGGAAGTGAGGAAAAGTAAATTGAAAGAGATGAAGAACCCTGAATTTAATATCTAAGAGATTATGCAATTTGATAAAAAGATTAAGGAACTTAGAAAAGAGAAAGCAGCAGTCAGGTAAAAAGAGTGGGATGAACGGGAAAAACAGTGGAACAAGTTTTAGGCGCAATATTATTCGGAGAGTTATAAGAGAGCTAGACAGTACTATAAGGAATAAGACTTAAAAGTGGATGAATCTAAAATTAAAGCTTAGGAACGACTCAATATTCTTAGATCTTACGATAATGAGGTGAAATAGAGATATCAACCTCATGTTTCTTAAGAGAAGAGATCAGAAATTGAGGAAAACATCAGAAAACTCAAATATGAACCAGATTTTAAGAAATACAGGGAATTATCTGAGAAGGTTAAAGAAAAACATATATATTTTGGAGTAGACTAAAAGGATTAATCAGGAAATAAGAAGGTGAAACTAAAACCGTTAGAGAACATCCCTACTCCTATTTCACCTAAACGCATAGGGGATTTCTATTTAAGGGAACATGCGACCTACAACAAGAAGCACATCCCACCTATACCGAGACCCCCAGAACCCCCTAAGTCAAGTTAATCAGAATAGAAATTAGTTATTAAAGATTATTTGAAAGAGTAGAGGATCAAAAAGTAGTTGATAGAATAATAATCAGTAAATATATTTATCAATAAATCATAGATGAAAAATATGAACTAAACTTCAGGACTGGAAAATGACGATTAGAAGATGATTATGCAAATTAAAAAGTAATTGGAGAAATTGGATCATATTTGAGATTGTTCATTATTATTATTCTCATAAAGTTATAAATTATTAAATTACTTTTTTAGAATAGTTAAGATTTTTATTTTTGATTCTAAATTAAATAAAATAAGGTGGAAGGGGTGTATACTAAGTTTAGCAAAATAAATATATGATCATACATATCTTAAATTTTTGTAAATTATTTTTATTTTAATAAATTATTCAGGTCATAACTAATCGATGGACGAAGAGAAAAAATAATATAGTAAAATCAACAAAGAGATTAGACAAGAAATTATTGATAAAATCTGCTTATAAAAAAAACCATTGTTAGAGGTATTTCATTCATTTTAAATATTTAAAAAGGTTGCTTAAGAATACTCGTTATTGGCATCTACGTGTAAGTCTATCGTAAATACTTACATGAAAGAAGGCAGAGTTGGTAAAAAAGAATCAAGAATTCGTAAATTAAAAAAAGTAGTAACAACATACCACATAATTTTAAATCCTCTATAACCACTACTCTCTCAAGTGTAAATATAAAAAAATGTTGAAAATTGTGTAGAGCAATCATAAAAAAGTCGACTTGAAACAGATGAGGCTTAAGAAGAGAATAAATAAGAATTGCAATCTTTAGATTTGTCAATTCAATAGTGGACTCAATCCTTATTAAACTAAATCCAATCATTGAACCAATAGTATAAGGATCCATAATTTATTCGTTAAAATTGAAATGATTTATATAGATTACATTATGCATTTATATATATATTTATTATTAATATTTGTATATAAACTTCTGTTATTCTTAAATGATTAAAATATTCTACATTTCATATATCTCTCCAGTGAACCTTCATGCATTTAATCGCTTCAAAATAATTTCCTTGAGTTTCCATCCAAAATTGTTCAAGAGTATTCTAAGAAAACTCATCACATTTCCACATTCCCGTTTGAATTCCATACTCACAGAATGATCTAAACATATCCAAAGGTGCTCCATTCAATTTTATACCATATTTCTAAGGTAACAGTACATGTTTGGGTTGGAAGTCATGTTAAAATAATTTGAAAATAGTGGAAGCAGTAATTTTAGTACCATTTTTAATTTTGTGTCCATCAAAGTGCATGAACAATCGAGGTAATGACATATGATATGGTGGTACATGTCCCTTTAAATAATTAATGACATATGCTTACTCTTAGATCTTTATCAGATTCATAACGAAAAGATGGTAATTACGATGGTCTATAGAACCAGTTAATACCATCGACAGCTACTAATACTTTGTATTTTTCAGTATTATACAATTATTCCATCACTTCATAGACAGCATTGGTTGCATAATGAGCATTTGAGATGCCATAATCGATAATTTCTTGTAAATATTGGGGTTTAGGGATTTTCAATGTAATTCTCGCAGACATGATTTAATCTTGTGCTTCTTCGAAATCTCTTTCTTCTTTAGTTGTAAATTTCTCAAAGTCCTTGAAGTGATATTCTCTTCTTTCATCGTATAAATTGGGACAAGGATCAGGATCATCATCATGAACACCACTCAAATTGAATTTGCCATAAAGACTCAAATCAACTTAAAAGGTCTTCAAATGCTCTTGATTAGCCTCTTTGAATTGTTCCAACCATTCCTAAGCTGCCTTTGGTTGCATATACAATCCAGTCTTATGATGTCTCTTGGCCTCATATTGTAATGAAGTCCAACTATAATAGTGTTGATATATTTAATACTTATATCCAGATGGAACTACTGCTACTATCCATCCAGTTTATTAGGCAAACATAATTGCTTACATTAACACACCTGATTTACCAGCTCCATGATCTCCATAGAAAAGTAAATTACTTGAATATCCATAGTATTATTCCTAACATAAATAATGCATTCATACCCCAAATCTATTCTCAATCAATGATTTTGGAACTGGGAATGGATTATTTACATATTTAGTGAGATCCAAAGTGAAATCCTTAAATTACAATGTTTTCACTGTTGAAAATAATAGTTCAGGCATAGAAGCATTTGCTTATTGCTTATCTATCTTCTCCAATAATTAATCAACAAGAGACTTGAAGAATTCTTTTC